TGGAGCCTCGAGACAGACACACAGACCTCCTCCTGGTCCCACACTCCTCCCAGGGGCTCCATCGCCCAGCCGGACTGCCCGCCCTGCCCCTGCTTCCTGGTGCACTTCCGTAAACCCTGGCAGTGTCCAGCACAGGCGTGAGATCAGAGTCCAGGTCCCCACGTCGCACTGCCCCCAGGCCCAGGACGCGGCTGCCCACTGAGGGCGCTGGTGCGAGCCGGCCCCAGTTTCAACTCTGAAATTTGACCATTGTTTCTGTAGTTTTATCCCCCTCCCATCCCCCATACTTTGGTCCAGTTCTGTCATCTCTTGTCCTCCCACAGCGCCATGCCTACTTCTTCACTGTCTGCCAGTCCCATCTGCACTCTGATTGTTTTTGAAATTTTAAGTTCTTACACCTGGGCCTCCTCACATCACATCTGGGGGAAGTGCAGACCCGGCTTTGAGAACACTTCCTTCAACACAGGTTTCCCTTCCTTGTTCTCCTCTGCCACGGTGGCCAGTGTCCTGGAATGGCCTCCTTTGGAACCCCCTGCCACCTGGCCGCAGATCTCAGTCACAGACTCCTCCTTCCTTCCTGTTCAAGCTGCACGAGCTCTGGAGCCTCCAGGTGCCTGGGAGCAGCCGCCCACACGCCGCCCCCTGGTTGGCCAGCCCTCCTGCCCCACATGCCGCCGCCCCTCCCCCCCATGGTTGGCCAGTCCTCCTGCCCCACATGCCGCCGCCCCTCCCCCCCATGGTTGGCCAGCGTTCCTGCAGTAGGCGGTGAAATGATTTAGTTGACTCCGTAAGGCCGGCACCCAAGCACACACCTGCTTTCTTGAGCCTGGTGAGGTGTGGCCCACAGTGTGCATCCTGTCGGAATGGTAGATGTTACTGCAGCTTCCACCAGGTGCCTGGTGAACGGCCCTGGAGCCTGGGCCCTTCCAAAGACCATCATTCACTTCAAGGAAAGGCCAACGTTTTGATTCGTAAAATGTCAGTATCAAGATTTTGTTCAAAGGATGGCATTTATGAACTTAGTATATATAACAGCCTGGGTCAGACTGTTTCAGGCCATTGAGCTGGACTTTTTCAGCGATGGAACTATCGGCATATGTGGTTTGGAAAAGCATACCGTTCCCACATGCCTGCCTTCATCCAGAGGCCCTCGAAGCAGAGCCGAGAAAGCCTCTGTCTCTGAGATCCTGACCGTTGGTGGTTGTTACATAGCAATTGCCTGGAAAACACTTGGAGTTAGCATTTCCGTGGGAAAGGAACAGATTTCCTCAGCTTTTCTAGGATGCACACCCAAGGCAAGTGCTCTTACAACTGGAGACCCTTGCTGTCGCAAGATTTCTGTCAAAACCTCAAAGAAAAGTAGGTGTCAACCGCGGTGTACATCCCTCCCCAGGCAACGGCTTTCAGAGCCTCTGGCAACTTTCTGCGCGGCCCCGCCAGCAGGATGTCCATGCCGCCAGCAGGATGTCCGTGCCGGCCTGGCGAGGCCGGGGCTGCGTGTGGGCTGCGTCCACGGGGAGGGGTTTCCGCAGGCTCCCTGCTGGCTGGACCTCCGGCGGCGCAGCCCCGGCACGAGTGTCGGTGGTGGAAGGCGTGCCGGGCACCAACAGGATGCCGCGCGGAGGACGTGGCTTTGCACTGCTCCCGAGGAGACAGAGGCCCTCTCTCCAAACAGCCAGCACGTGGGGACTGTCTCCTCTCCTGCGCTGGAAGGCAGGCCTGACCCTAATCCGAGACCGTCGTGCCCGCCTGATGATCTGCTCTGACCGCTCGGCCGCGCTCGGGTGCACTTTTGTTCCAGTGTCTCCCAAAGGAACCGAGGTTTCCCTTTCCGCAGACAAGCTGTGCTCGCAGAGGAACCGAGGCGAGAGTAATGGGCCGTTGGTCCTCTGGGGGTTCCTGCCCTGCCTGCCCCACGGGTGCCCAGAGCACTGCTCCGGGGCTCTCTGGGGCAGCAGTGGGCAGGACTGTTCCGAGGAGACGGCCTCCGTGTCCCCAGGGAACTGCGTCTGCACCAGACGGGCTGTCACCTCAAAGAATTCCCTTGCATATGATGTTTGAAAACCAGTGTCTGTATCTGATTTACAGAATCCAATAACCTGCCCCTTTGTCTGAAAACGGCACTGTGCCCCCAGTATTGGTAAGGGGTTCTGCTGGCGGGAGCCCCCTCAGGGCTGGCAGCACCAGGCACGTCCGGGTGTGCCATTTCTGCCTCACGTGAGCTCCCGGGGCTCCCGTCTGCCTTCCTGACAAGACTCAGAGGTCTGTTCCCGGGCACCTGGGCTCCGTGTGCCCCTCCCCAGAGTCCAGTGTGGTCACTCTTCCGCTTCGGACAGCAGCACACCTTTGAGAAGGGCGTGTGCTCTGGACCGATCCTGCTGGAGCCCGGGACGGGTTTGTCTTTCGGAGGAAGGCAGACGGCTCATTCAGTTCTCTGGGCCTTGGGGTACTTTGCTCTGAGGCCCAGCAAGGAAGAGGCTATTTAATTGTGTCGCTTTTGCCTTGCACTTGGCTTTTATTATTTTGGGGAGAGAATCTGCTTATTATTCACCAAAAACCACATCTAGGCAGGGATGGGGGCAGGCAGGCTCTCTCAGTGTCTTCCCCTCTCCCTCCAACTTAAAAACAATGCAAAGAATAAGGGGCCTCTACCCCCACTTTTCTTTTAAATTTCCATCTCCTTAAAATCCTCCCTCCTCACCTAAAGTGACATTGAGAAGCTATCTCACTGTGACTTTTTACACATTCCCCCAGCAGAGCCAAGGATTGTGATAAATGTGTGTCTTCCCCTTTAACTCATTATTCGGGCCATTGTTTGCTACTGACATCGTTGTGGTTTACAGCTTGTTGGAATAAATCCAGTTAAATCCTCTGAGGAGGGAAGAAGGCGGTTCCAGCAGCAGTGACACCTGGCCTTCCCCGGCAGCTCCCCCGGCCCAGCTCCCCCTCAAGCCACCCACATCTGAAAGGGTTCTGCCCGGGACACCTGCCTCCCCCAGAGTCCGCTCCTGACCTCTCGCCTCAGGAGCAGGCCGGCGTGGCGCTGCAGGCAGACAGGAAGTCTTGACCTCTGCTTGTCTTTCTCTGGTTCCGGTCACCTGCCCTCTTTTGCTCTTATCAAACCCTTGTGTCTGATTTTCCTGCTCCACAAAGACATCATCTCTCCTCACTTCCTCCCCACCTTGCACAGTGAAGTCATCTCCTTCCCACCTGGGAAGCCAGCTCCCTGGAGAGGACGTGGCTGCCGTGCTGTGAGCTCCGTGGCCTCACGTGGCACTCGGCTCTCCGAGTTGCTTTTTATTCCCCATTTTAGCTAAAAACTGTCAGAGGAAATGCAAAAAGGACCACCCCTGTTTCTCCATGACCAGAAGCTGGCCAGTGTCATGACCCGTGTGGAGGGGCCCTGTCCTGGGGCCAGGACAGAGTGTGGTAGTCGAGCATGGGGGGTGAGGTGTGGACTTCGCTGATCTGTGGTCTCCATGCGGGCGTTTGTTTTCCAGTGACCTTACTGCAGCAGAGTTAGGGCTGTAGGTATCAATTCATAATAGAGAAGGAAAATCAGTGATATTCTTTGTGTTTCAGTAGCCAAAAGTAATGATGGTAGATTATTTCTGCACTGTGTGTGTTTTATTTTTAAATAAGCTCTTTATTTTAGGACAGATTTATAGAAAAATTGTGAAGATACTACAGAGTTTCTGTACGCCCCAGACCCAGATTCCTGTGACTAGCACCTACGTTCCTGTGGCGTGTTCCTTAGAATTGATGAGCCGATACGATGCAAATAAAGGCTGTGCTTCATTCAGATGCTCTCAGTGTTCCCTGCCGTCCTTTTCCCCATTCAGGACTCCATGTGGCATTTAGTTGTTGTGCCTCCTCAGGCTCCTCTAGCCTGTGACAGTTTCTTGGACTTTCCTTGTTTTTGATGACTTTGACTGTTTTGAGGATGTTGGTTGGGTGTTGTGTAGAATGCTCGTCTGTGATCGGTCTGGCATTTTTCTCGTGAGACTGGAACTCTGGGTTTGGGCATGAAGACCACAGATGTCCTTCACGTCACACCTACCATCAATGTGACTGTCACTGCTGATGTTGACCATTCGTTTCTCCACTGCATAGTGACTCTTTCTCTCCCCTTTCCAGACAGTCCTCTTTGGAAGAGAGTCACTGTGGGCAGCCCACACTTCAGGGTGGGGTGAGCCCTGCCTCCTTGAAGTGGGCACTGGCCCATCCTGGTCAAGGGCTCACAGCAGGCCCCCGGAGGGAGCCGAGTGGGCGCGTTGGCCCGTGCGTGGCAGGAGCCGTCGAATGCTGACTTGGCGTCCTGAAGCCCTCGTGGGTGTGTCCCGTGTGAGGGATGTGTGACATGAGCCACATGTGAACACGTGCTCAGGAGCACAGTGTGCACACATCCGGCTAACGTTTGGGTCCAGAAAAAAAGTGATTTCTGGAGTAGTAACAGTTACAGAAAACCCTACGTCCAGGGAGTCAGCACTTTCCTGCTCTGGACCCGACTCTTGTGCTAAGAGTGGAAACTGCTTGGTTCCTGCCCCCAGAGGGTTCCAGAAAGATCTAAAGAGCATTGCCACTGCAACTCGGGGCCTCGGAGTTAGAATAATTACATTAAAATGTGGTTTGGTTGCCTCCCCTAACAGTCCACTTAGAATGGCATCTTGTTTTTCCTGGTAAATTGCATGATTGTCAAGGGCAGGAAGCACCTCACGAATGTGTGCTCCCCGTACTGGTAGTTGCCGCCCAGACAAGGTTCCCGTGAGGAACTTACGGAGCTGTGGGTGCTCAGGGACCTCGGGTGGAGCCCGCGGGCGTCCTGGCCCGCGTGGCTGTGCGCTCAGGTCGGGCTTCGGGCTGCAGAGGCCTGGTGTTCGGATCTGAGGTTGAAACATTCAGCAACAAGTGGCAGGGAGGGGCCTGGCGGCTGTCTGCGGGCCCTGAGGCGTGAGCAGGACGGGTGGCAGTGGTGAACGCCTGTTCTTTCTCTTCGGCAGACGTGAGCAGCAGAATGGGATGCAAGGTGCTGTTCAGCCTTGGCCAGCAGATGCTCAGGCGGAAGGTGGTGGACTGCAGCCGTGAGGACAGCCGGCTGTCCCGCTGCCTGAACACGTTTGACCTGGTGGCGCTGGGGGTGGGCAGCACGCTGGGTGCCGGCGTGTACGTCCTGGCCGGAGCCGTGGCCCGTGAGAACTCGGGCCCTGCCATCGTCATCTCCTTCCTGATCGCCGCGCTGGCCTCGGTGCTGGCTGGCCTTTGTTACGGCGAGTTCGGGGCGCGTGTCCCCAAGACCGGCTCGGCCTACCTCTACAGCTACGTCACCGTCGGGGAGCTCTGGGCCTTCATCACCGGGTGGAACCTCATTCTCTCCTACATCATCGGTGAGTCCTAGTCTGTCACTCCCACCTCCCAGCTGTGGCAGACGCTCCGCTCTGTCCCCGATAGGCCAAGTCTCGCGTTTCCCCGGGAGCTCCTCCTTGCCTGCCTGTCCCTCTTCCCTTCCCCTTATGGAAGCGGGGGCAGCCCTGTGGGCAGCCCGGCTGGGCGGCCGTCTGTGCTCACGGTCAGGTGTGCCGGGGCTCCGTGGGCACGGGCCAGGCCAGCAGGGAGGCCGCTCGTATTGCCAGGGAGACGTGGAACTAGTGGGATGTTTCTAATTAGTTAAAAAGGATTTAGCCTTTCTTAGTAAAATTTTTTTTTGGCAACTAGAGTAGATTTATTATGGACATAGAGAGATGGGGGGAATACAGAAAGGCACACAGAAGAAAGTAGAAATTCCCCAGTCTGAGAGTGGAAACATTCGTTCTCTCATTTATTCATTCTCTCAACAAAGACTTAGTGAGCACTCGCCCTGGGAAGCCGCCTGCTGGGTGTCAGGGACGAGCGGAGAACAGGCACGGTTCTTCATGGGAGGCTACTGTCTAGGGGTTAACCACTGTCCATATATTTCTGAATTTAAAGGCATATTTTTGGCACAGTATATCTCTCTATTTATAAAACAATAGATACTGAACGTTTCTCAGAGCATTAACTATGTTTCCGTAGTAATGTTCCTGATGGTTACATACCATTCGATTGAAACAAACACCTGAATCAAAGAATAACCAAAGGATTTGCATGGCCAATTCACAGCAGTAGGAATACAAATAGCCATTAAATATTCCATTTATAGTTCGGCAGGCTTTTTGTAATATTATCAAAAGACAGTGAGATGTCAGTTCAGCCACGTGAGTCCCGGGACCATGGTGTGCGGTGCTGCGTGCGGCCTGCCGGGACCGCAGGGCTGGCTTCTGGGGGTGCCACTGCCTCACGTCCCGGCCACCTTGCCCTCAGCCTGCAGTGTCTGCTCAGAGCCCACCTGGCTTACTCTGCTACCGTCCGAAATACAACCCATCACAGTGGTGTTCGCAGCCCAGCACTGAAACTTGTAAGCGCAAACACTCACACAAGCCGAGGTCTCTCGGTGGGAGTGCAGCTATTTTAAAGGGGTCGTGGGTTCCCAGAGGGTTTACCTGAGCACGAAACACGAGAGAGCATGAGGCCCGATGCTTCCGGACCACAGATGACACTGCTTTGCCTGTGTGGGATCACGGTATGTCATGTCATTGCAGGACCAGCCAACGTGGAGTTTTACAGCCCTGACCCAGCTGGGGCAGGGAGGGTGCGGTTTGGGAGCCCGGTCAGATGGGAGACCACGTTTCTTCACTGGGTTGTGGCCTTGACGGACAGATTGCATAACAGGCGAGCTGCTCAGCTCGAATAAATCGTGGTTAAATTTTTGAGTTGCTACTTACCGTGAGACCAACTAGCAAAACTGAGACTCTGCAGGTCACTCTGGCAAACTCCTGGGGGTGACCCAGACCGCCATCACTGGCAAGGCCCCCTTTGAGAAAGTAAAGGAAAATGCCATTTGTTAATACTGGAATTTTAGGGGCATTTCCTGAGGAGCAGTGACTGTTCGGGTTGAGGGAGGAAGAGGGAGGGCGGGCGGGCGGGCAGAGGGCGGGCACAGGCAGCTGTTGTTGGCACTGGGAGCGCTGCGCCTCCTTCCTCCTGGCCAGGGCGCAGGGAGAAGGAAGGGAGCTTTGTCAGCCGGCAGGTGCTTGGGACCTGTGGGTGTGAGCCCAGGGTCAGGCACAGAGTGGCAGGGGGAGGGTCAGCCACATGGGATCCCTGGGCTCTTGCTGGGAGAGCAGTGACCCCCCCGGGCTGGGAAGGGCTTCCCAGCAGGATGCGCACGTGCCCTGCGCCCCGGAGGGCCCCGGTGTCGGGGCACAGCCAATGCTGCTTTCTGTGCGGAAGTAAAGTAGGTGGAATTGAATAAACACTATCTGAGTGCCTCTCAGGTGGCAAGGGTAACACTGTTCTGTAAAATTTTTATTAATAATTTAGTTATATATATGTTGACAAGGGTAATGTGAACTTTTATTAATAAGTTAGTTATAGATTTGAAACACAAGTATACATGTGTGTATTGGGTCGTGGTGGAAAATGCATTTTTTTCCAGGCCCTAGAAGCTTTCTGGAACTGGTCACTGCACTGTGAACACTGACTGACCCTCCTCTGAGCATGTGCATGCTGAGGTCCAGCTGCTGCTGCAGCTCCACGCCCCGTCTGACCCCGCACGGGTGCTCTGAATGTCCAGCTGCATGACAGATGCTTTCTTAAACCTTTTGTTCACATTCCTCTGGTGTGTGTTTTGTGGCAGGTACTTCAAGTGTGGCAAGAGCCTGGAGTGCGACGTTTGACGAGCTGATCGGCAAGCCCATTGGGGAGTTCTCTCGCACACACATGGCTCTGAACGCCCCCGGAGTGCTGGCCGCAAACCCAGACATCTTTGCTGTGATTATAATTCTCATCTTAACAGGTACAGCCACAGAGTGACAGAGCCATCAGGTTGCAGGGAGGGTCCAAGGTATGAGGCAGCTCCTCTTCCATTTGCTTCCTCACCCCATTTTCTTTCTGTAACTAATGCAGACATCTTTTCTGTCTTAACGGCTTCTGATGGATTCACGCAGGGTTGGCTGTTTACTGACTGCCGAGTTATGTGTCATTGAGCTGAAAGAGAACCTCAGATGTTGATGAGATTACGGAGTCAGGTTTTGTTAGTACTCCAGGCTTTCTGTTCAAGTGACCCAGGAACACACTATTGACCCCATGGTGACCATTTGGAAAGGAAAATTGTTCATCAGCCGGGTGGATGTGGGAGATCCAGGGCTGTCTGGAGCACTAGCAGGTGTCTGGGGTCAGAGACATCTAGATGGTTTCACACTCCCGGCCGTCGTAACACCCTGAAGTGAACAAATTTCATGACAAAGTTGTGGGTGCAGAACTTAAAAATTCCAGGTAGTGTTTGCCCACAACTGATGGCAGCTTCTTACTGACATTTATCCATGTTTCAGCCACTAGGGTGGGAGTTGGTTGTCATAAGCTGAAATGCAGATAAATTCTCTTTTGAGGCTAGAACACCATGCACGGGTTTTTAAAATAACCTGTCCAGTTTTGCCCACTGAGTAATTGAGATCATTTTGCACAGGCCAGTCTCCGCAGTGTTCTGGTCCCGCTGACCCAGCATGTATCAGAAATTAAGTCGCCCCTGCCCAGAACTCCATGCACACGAGGCAGGACGTGAGAGGGGGGGCAGCAGAGTGGGGAGCCGGGTCCCTGACAAATGGCTTCATTCTTCTCTGATGCCTGCATTTCAGAATTCAATCTGTTATGTGAGCCCTTTTTATAATAAAGTATTTTTTTCTTTATTGATTTTAGAAGGAGAGAAAGGGAGAAACAGATAGAAACATTGATGAGCAAGAACATCAGTTGGCTGCCTCCTGCATGCCCCCACTGGGGATCGGGCCCACAACCTGGGCATGTGTCCTGACCGGGAATAGAACCGGTGACCTCTTGGTGCATGGTCGACACTCAGCTACTGAGCCACACTGGCTGGGCTGAGCCCTTTTTTATTATAATTTTATATGTTTTATTATTATTTTATATGTTTTATTATAAAACATATAAAAGACAAACAGGGCAGATCAGCGATCTCAAATCAATGGTCAGCCTTGGCTGTGTGTCCCCTTGCTGACAGTGTGCCCCGTTGCCCCCAGGTGGCATGTTTACCCGAGGTGGCCCTGCGTTGTCACGTGTTCCTGAGCATTTCATCACTTGGTGTGTTTTTTAATGTGAGTTTCCGAGCTAGAGCTAGTCTGGTGTTTGTCCTGCACCACGTTCACGGGGACCCTACGTGGTGCTGGTGGCTCCACAACCACAGACACTGCTCGTTGCTGATACTGCTGACGTCCTCAAGTCCGTCAGCTGATCTGAACAGCTCATTCTACCAAGAAACTGAGCAAAGTGTCTCCTCCTTGGAGAAAATAAAATCCTGCTCCTGAGGGTGGTTCTCAGTAAGATACTTTAATGAAGAGGGCACTTCATCTCTTGGGGGAGCTTGATGTCCCCCCCTTTGCAGTCCCCTGGTACCCCCGGATGACCTCACGGCGTTGCGTTGTTTTGATCACTGCCTCGAGAAAGACCATGAATTCAGCCCCATTCCCAGGGGCTCACAGACGTCTTCAGAGATTTGAAGCCATGTGGATTCTTCTGAAGTCATCGTCCTCATCCCTGTCCCCACCCCAGGAAGGATTTCCTGGTATGAGGTTAATGCTCAAAGTTTCCTGTCTGTGCACGTTTTCAGGCCTTTTAACTCTTGGTGTGAAAGAGTCAGCCATGGTCAACAAAATATTCACTTGTGTCAACGTTCTGGTCCTGGGCTTCATCATGGTGTCAGGCTTTGTGAAAGGATCGATTAAAAACTGGCAGTTCACAGAGGAGTATTTGCAGAACAACTCTGGCCACCTGTGCTCAAACAAGTGAGTGGTTTCTCTGTCTGTCCCTCGGCCGGTGACAGTCTGTGTGCTTGGGGGATGTCATTGGTAGAACCATATGAGCCCTTTTTTTAACGATGTGATTTGAATTTGAATGTTTTGTTAATTTCTTTTTGTAGTAAAGTAGCTAAGGGTGTTTTATTGGTTTGAAGTTTGTGTTAAGTTTTATTTCCCTCTACTAGACAGAATGCGGTGTGACAAAGGACACTTGCTGGGGAAACGGCATTTCCTTCTACCCAGCATGTACACAGTCAGGGGTCACGTCAGACTCCGCTGAGCAGCCCCCTTTCTCTTGTACTCTGTTCCATGACCTTCTGAGTTTTGTGATCAGAAAAGATTTCCTCTGCAATACCATGGTGATACTGCTTTATTTCAAAATATTTAATAACACGGAAAAAGAAATATGTGGAACTTTTTTTTTTTTTTTTTTTTTTAATCCTCACCCGAGGATATTTTTCCATTTTTTTGTACAGATAGAGTGGGAGAGAGAGGAAGGGAGAGAGAGAGAGAAACATCGACGTGAAGGGACACATCGAGTGGCTGCCACCCGCACAACCAACCAGGGCCGGGGACAAACTGCAACCGAAGTACATGCCCTTAGCGGGAACCGAACCCGGGTCTCTCCGGACCGCAGGCCGATGCTCTAACCGCTGAGCCAAACTGGCCAGGGCATATGTGGAACTTTTATCAAAGGTTTTCAGAATTACTGAAGTATCAAAATGTGATTATAATACTCTCTTTCTCCCTCACTTGACTTGGGTTGCATCAGCCCTTAAAAGTAGCGGCCCAGGGTTAGAGTCAGCTGGTAGGCCGGCTCTCAACCCCCTGCCTGCAGGCCTTGGAGTGAACCCGCACCAACAAACTCATTATCTAGGACACAAAGCCAAAGAATTATAATGTATTCTTTTTATCTTCTTTTGTCAGATTTTCAAGTGAAACTTAGGGTCCCTGGATGGAGAACAGGGAGTGTGATTTTGCCTACCAGTCTATTTTAATTACAGTTAGAGGTTAAATGCTCAGATAAAGAGACTCTTCGATGATGCGGTGGCTGTTAATGACGTCTCACGTGCCGCAGTGAGCAGTTGAGTTGGCTGGCCGGCGTGGCTCGCCGTGGGCTTTCCGGGACCCAGGCTGTGCACCTGGTTTTCCTGTCCTCTCTGGGGATGTTGTCCGTGTCTGCCTGGTCAGAGCTGGCTGTGGGCGCTGCGTGCTGCCGCTGTCCCAGAAGGGAGCCGGTGTGGAGGGGGGTGTCTCCAGCGCTTTGAGGACCATTCCGGCAGACACGGGCCCCTTCTGCCCACTCTCCCCGGCCAGGATCCAGTAGGCAGCCACATGCACCTGCAGGGGAGGCTGAGTCAACCCCAGCTTGGTTGCAGGTTGTTAAGGGTCAGATGCCCCGTGGTCTGGTTAATGGGCAGCCGTTGATGTGTGACTATTTCTCCACCAGAATTCAACAGGAAATTATTGAATTAAATGCATGAAACTTCACTAACTCTATTATATGGTTAACAGTTCAAATAAAAAGAGCTTTTCTTTGGGGGACTAAACCCTATGACAGAGAAATGAGGACTTATTTATTATTATTTTTTATTATTTGTTTGTTTATTTATTTATTTATTTATTGTTAATCTTCACCCGAGGATATTTTTCCATTGTATTTTAGTTAGAATGGAAGGAAGGGAGGAAGAGCGAGAAACACTGATGGGAGAGAGAGACACATCGATTGGTTGCCTCCTACACAACCCTGACCAGGGCCAGGAATCAAACCTGCAACCCAGGTACATGCCCTTGACTGGGAATTGAACCTGTGACCCTTCAATCTGCAGGCCGATGTGCTAAGCCAAACCAGTCCGGGCTATTTTAGTTTTTAATCCTCACCTGAAGGATATTTTCCCCCTGATTTCCAGCTAGAGAGGAAGTGGGGGTAGGGAGAGAGAGAAACATCTCTGAGAGGGACACATCGATTGGTTGTCTCCTGCACAGGCCGGGATGGAACCTGCAACCCAGCCATGTGCCCTTGACCGGGAATTGAACCCAAGACCCTTCCATCTGCAGGCCGATGCTCTAATTGCTGAGCCAAACTGGCCAGGGTGAAATTTCTTCCCAAGCGTTCCTGAGTCTTATTTGTGACACGTTCTTGGTGCCCATTCACTTAAGGTAGAGTAAAGCCAATTCAGATACGCTCTGAAGAAACAGTCGACTTTGCAAACCTTGGGCTCCTGTCTTACTGGCTGCTGTTTACAGATCAGGAATGAAATGCTTCCCGGTTGTCAGTCAGGATTTAATTGTACTGTCTTTGTGAAGAGATGGTTCCCGCCAGCAGATGGTGTTTCCTTTCTCAGTCATCCTTGCCCTGCATGTCCTAGGATGCTGGACTATGCTGGCCTCCCAGACTAAGTGGCACTTGTTGCCAGCCCTTGGTCCTGGGCGGGACCCCTTCAGTGACCTCTGGGGACAGCCATGGAGGGCAACAAGTCTGCCACTTTAGGAGGAACATGGCTTCTTGTTCATTTTATTAAAAGCTGTAAGATTCTTCCTTTATTTTTTACCAGCTGTAGATTTGTGTTTTTGACAGTGGCCACACAGTCGGAAGTACTAAAGCATTACCCAGCGAGAGCATGCAGCACGGAGGGGCTTCACCCGCGCGGGTCGAAGGCAGGCCCACACCCTGCGGGGCCTGTGGCGGTTGGCTCACCGTGCCCACTTCTCTGACTCGGAGCCGGGGAGCGGCTGCCGCCTGCCCACTTACCTGTCCTGGCTGCCTTCTTTGTACTTGGGTTGGCGGTTTATTCCAGTTGTACTTAAAGATGACAAGCTGCTGTTCTGAGTTCGGTGACCATTTCCCCACGTCCATCACAGTGTGTTTCTTGGGGTTTCCCTCAGTTGCTTCTGGGCCACAAGAAACCCCACACTCAAGATCTTCATGCTTCCTGCCCAGTGGCTCCATGGCAGCTGCTGGAGCTGAGCAGTGGGACTGTCCCCGAGGGTCAGTGCAGGGCTCAGTCCCCATTAGGAGAGGGTTGCGCCCGTTGTCCGTCTGTTTCATTAGCCAGGCGATGGATCCCAGGGAAAGCAACTTCGCCCAAAGGAGTTGCTCACCCAGCCTCAGTGGTCGGCGTCGCAGGGTCGGAACATTCTCATTCTCATTCCTGTTCTCATGTTGGGGGTGAAGTGGTCTGGGGAGGGGCTGTGGGGGTTGTGACCGCCCTCCAGGCTCTGTAGTAAGTGACAGGAAGCCTGCAGCCACAAGGCCAGCAGAAGAGGTGGCCGGCAGGGGACGCTGGAGCTGCCCCCAGACAGGGAGGGGCTGCTCTTCGGGGCTGAGGCGTAAGATTACATGGTGAGAGGCGGGGCCCCTGCTAGACTGATGTCAGAGCCGGCTGCCCAGGGGGTCCCGCAGGGCTGAAAGCACCCTGTTCCAGCTCAGACACTGTGCTTACTTGAGTCACAGGCTTTGATCCACTGGGGCTTCTGAATCGTCAGGGACTTTGGGGTCCACAACATGTGCTTGGCTTTGAGTTCATTACCAGCAAACTACTGAGTCCCACCCATGAGCCCCCCCGCCCCCCCGCCCCGGTGCTGGGCACCCGTCACCCCCTTGAAGCATCCCAGCAGTTTCCCTTGTGTCCATGGTGCTTAGGAAGCACGTCTGTTGACCAAAACAGCACTTTGCAGTGTCTTTGGAAATGCTTATCTTAGGCCTGAGTCACCGTAGAGACGGAGACTCTGCATTTGGTTCCTGGTCTGGGCCCCTGCACTGCCTGGCCCCTTTCTTTCTCAGGGGGCTGGGGGGGCAGCAGTTCTTGGTCTCTCTCTTTCCTGCTGGACACCCTGGCAGTGCCTTCATTCCACCCACCCCCACCCCAAGTCTGTATTTAGAAGCTGCTTCTGGAAAGGGCACAGTGTGCACCCTTCTGGCTCTGGGCCCCACAGAGTGAGGCCTGTGGTCCAAGGATTCTGGTACAGAGGCTGCGGCAGGGGTCAGGGACCGTGTGCTGAGGGCCTGCGGCAGGGGTCATAGTCAGGTGGTAGGGTCAGGGACCGTGTGCTGAGGGCCTGCGGCAGGGGTCATAGTCAGGTGGTGGGGTCAGGGACCGTGGGCTGAGGGCCTGCGGCAGGGGTCATAGTCAGGTGGTGGGGTCAGGGACCGTGTGCTGAGGGCCTGCGGCAGGGGTCATAGTCAGGTGGTGGGGTCAGGGACCGTGTGCTGAGGGCCTGCGGCAGGTCATAGTCAGGAGGTGGGGTCAGGGACCGTGGGCTGAGGGCCTGCGGCAGCGGTCATAGGTGGTGGGGTCAGGGACTGTGTGCTGAGGGCCTTCGGCAGGGGTCATAGTCAGGTGGTGGGGTCAGGGACCGTGGGCTGAGGGCCTGCGGCAGGGGTCATAGTCAGGTGGTGGGGTCAGGGACCGTGTGCTGAGGGCCTGCGGCAGGGGTCATAGTCAGGTGGTGGGGTCAGGGACCGTGTGCTGAGGGCCTGCGGCAGGTCATAGTCAGGTGGTGGGGTCAGGGACCGTGGGCTGAGGGCCTGTGGCAGGGGTCATAGTCAGGTGGTGGCTCTGGGACAGCTTCTCTTGGGGACCATGAAGTCAGTGTTGTGATTTTTGCTGTGGCTCCTTTTCTAGTGACACGAAAGATTGGGCACCCGGTGTTGGTGGGTTCATGCCCTTCGGGTTCTCTGGTGTCCTGTCAGGAGCAGCGACCTGCTTCTACGCCTTCGTGGGCTTTGACTGCATCGCCACCACAGGTACGCCCGCCCCGGTCGGCGCCCGCGCGGCCTCCGGCCTCCTTCACCCCGGTCACTGCTTCCTTCCTGTGGGCATGTGCGGCCGCGGACTTTCCACCGGTGACGTGTGGATGGCCGCTTCCTGATGATCTCTCCGCCCTTGTCCCTTCCCCAAGTGGCAGTTCCTGACAGGAAACTGCCTCCTGCCCGTGCTGAGCGCCCCGCTAAGTGGGCTGAGGACGGCCGCGCTGAGCCTGGCCCGTGTCTGGGCCTCATCCGGGAGGGCCCGGCCGCACGGATGCCCGTGCTGGCGAGTTCCAGTGCGGGCCCGCCGGGCCCCCGCGTCTCCCTTCGTCCTGGCGGAACCACGACGTCAGGCCAAGGACACCCTCTGGGTGTGCGGTCACCTGGCCTGTGCCGCGGAGGGCCACCGCGTGCTTCCGGACCGGGGGACCCGGCCCCACGGGCCGAGCACTGCGGGAGACTCTGTGGGCGCCCAGACCCCGGGTTGGGGGGGCCTCACTGTCTCGCCTTCCTGGACTGAGTCCTGGCTGTCTCTAGGCGAAGAAGTCAAGAACCCCCAGAAGGCCATCCCCGTGGGCATCGTCGCCTCCCTCCTGATTTGCTTCATCGCCTATTTCGGGGTGTCGGCTGCCCTCACACTCATGATGCCGTACTTCTGCCTGGACAAGAATAGCCCCCTGCCCGAGGCCTTCAAGCACGTGGGCTGGGACGGCGCCAAGTACGCGGTGGCCATCGGCTCCCTCTGCGCTCTGTCCACCAGGTGAGGGTTTGGGTCCCGGGCACGACGTCGGTGGCGGGCGGATAGAGCCGGGCAGGCAGGTGGGCTCTTAACGTTACTCTTTTCCCTGCAAATGGAGCCAGTGCCCCGACCCCAATGTCCTGGTTTCTCCCTTATTGCTCATCACCCAAGTCGACTGTGTACTGATCTTGAAGAGCCCGAGGCCCACTTGGTAACATCATCTGCTCAGCAAAGGACTGGCTTTTTGTCCCCAACTTTGGCCACGGGACCAGCCAGCGCTTTGAGCACCGCGTTTTGGCCTCGGCTTGGCTGTAAAGTGGAGCCGGCCTCGAAGAGGGAGTGAGGGCCTTTCCATGAGGCCCGTTGCCCCTCGGGTTTCCCAGCAGCCCACAGGAGCAGTGCCGGACCTTTGCCTTACCACAGAGACGTCCTCGTGAATGCGGGGTGCTTTTAGTCTCTGTTTGATTCAGCCGGAGACACCCAGGAATAAATATAAAATTTCCCTTCTGGAAAAATGATGACGAGGTTTGTGCTGCTTGGTTAGGACTTTCCCGTTGTACCCTTCCTCAGAGTAGGTCTTTTTCTGGGGTCGATGTGGGAATCCCGCGGGCAGCCATGAGCTTCGCTCCGCTGGCGGGTGGCGGCCCTGGCGGAGGGTTCTGGCTGCCTCCCCTCGGGGGCTGCCGCCTGCTCCGGTCCCCGTGCCTCGATTCCTGGAGAGCTCGTCTGACTGATGCATTTTCCTTCTCCTTCCCTCCAGCCTCTTGGGCTCCATGTTTCCCATGCCTCGGGTTATCTACGCCATGGCTGAAGACGGACTGCTATTTAAATTTTTGGCCAAAATCAACGATAGGACCAAAACACCAATAATTGCCACGTTAACCTCAGGCGCCATCGCTGGTAAGACTTGGAATTCATTTCACACACCCGTGTGTCAACAGTCATCACTGTGCCCGAGGGAAGTATCCGGGTGGCACCGTGATCCCGGGGAAGTTTTTCTGGCCTTTTAACATTGGGCTTCTACCCTTAGAACCTGGTTTGCTGCAGGGTAACTGCCCTTCCAATGAAAGGCAGAGAGAGGCCAGTGCTACAGAGGATGTACCTGAGTTCCCAGAAGTTTGAATTCTTATATTATTATTATTATCCTCTCCTTGGCCATTAGTCTCCTCGTTTAGTGTGTCCCTGAGCAGATTTTGGTGAGGTGACATCTCCTTGCATTTACAAGCCAAGTGAGACTGTGTTATTACTGGAAATTTAGTGTCCTTGTATCTTAGCTTGAGAACTCTCTGGGAAACAAGGGTCCCTTATGATTAGCAGTGTGTAAGATGTGCCACCTTGTGCTGGCTGGTGAGGCCCAGTTGGTTGAAGCATCGTCCCATACACCAAAGGGTGATGGGTTCAATTCTAGGTCAGGGCACATACCCAGGTTGTGAGTTTGATCCCCAGTCGGTGTATGTGCAGGAGGCAGCTTATTAATGTTTCTCTCTCACTCCCTCATCTCTCTTTAGAATCAATAAAAAACATTCGTCAGGTGAGAATTAAAAAAAGTGCCGCCTCTTGCCCAGGGAGTATTGAGGGTGCTGCTGATGAAGCCAGTTGTCCTGAGTGTGTCAGTAATGGCAGGCCCACAGGAGGTTCATCTGGCCAAGCACGAGGCTCCTCACCACGACGGTGATTTTGACAGGTGGTCAGTGGACTGAAGAGTGTGGCCTGCATGATCCGGTGGCCCTGGGTTAAGGAATGGGAGCTGACCCTTATTTGCATACGCACCACCTCCCTTTTGTGGTTGACATGTCCCCAGTTAGTGATTGCATTCCTCGGTCCCAGGGCAGCGTGATCCCCCTGTACAGAGCTGGGGTGCAGAGAGGGGCAGTGTGATCCCCCTGTACAGAGGAGGGGTACAGAGAGGGGAGGGCAGGATGCAGACCGTGTGTAAAGTTGGCTTTTGGTTCCTGGTTTGTTTTTATGCCAAAGAGGCTGCCCCTCCAGGGTGTGAGCCGAACAGTGGGCCCTGTGGTCAGTTAGGATGTGTGACAGTTTGTACCACGGGGACCTGTCAAACAGCTGTTGGTAAGACGTTTGACCATCTTAAATGAATGACTTGTTATTAGTAGTATTTATGCCCTGAGCAAAGTGTGCTTCCTTTTGTGGATTAATATTACATAATGGAAGAAAGCTAGTTTTTCATAATTTACCAAATTTGTCCTGTAATTCTACAGTCTTGAGAGTGATTGCAGTGGTCAGGTTACAGGACACCACATGTCAGAATACGACCAATATATTGAAGGGATTAAGGCATTGGAAACAGTGAAGATTTTTTTCAGTATTTACATGTCATTTGATCATGTTAAGGGCTGGCCGTAATGTCCTTCCTGTGCTGATGAAGGGGGTGGGACTCTACGTGAACACAAAGTGCACTCACCAAACCAAGGACTTACTCTTTCCTTTTATTTGGTGGGAGTGTAAACAAGATTAGGTATTCTCAGATCACCTCACCTGGAAGAAATTTGTGTGCACTTTCTCTGTGAGTGGGGACACGGGTGTTTGTGGCATGTACAGTTGGTCACTGTTCTGATTATCCAGAAGGTTCCTCCCTGCTCCTAAGTCCTATTATTTATTCACAATTTAAATTTGTTTTAGTTGCAGTGATTTATAGGGACTTGAGAAGTATTTGTGAAAAGCAGTGGTTTTGTGTTTATGTTTTAACTTGTCTCAATTGTGAATGATTTGAAAATACCCCAAAATAGACCTAGCCAAGTTTTTGTTTAAATGGGAAACAACCGATATACTACATAAATACATGTATAGATACTCTCACAGAAAGTACAAAGGATTTCAAATAAGCATGCATGTGTTGTTGTTTTTTCAAGTGTGGTCATGATGAAGGGACTGAAATAGTTTGGGAGGTAACAGTGTTCCATGCTCAACTGTCTGGGTGAAGAGCCTCACCCACCTCCTCACCCGCTTCCTCCTCCACTTCCTCATGACTGCTGCTGGCTGATGCGTGTGTCATGGATGATATGCCAGAGACCGTTCTTACCTCTTCAGTGGTGCATGCCACATTCAGTGAGTGCCAGGTGGAGGATGGATGGATGGATGGATGGATGGGTGATGGATGAATGGAGGATGGGTGGATGGGTGGGTGGGTGGATGGTGGGTGGGTAGATGAATAGATGGATGATGAATGAATGGATGGACAGATGGTGGGTGGATGGGTGGGTGGATGGTGGATGGATGAATGGATGGTGCATGGGTGGACAGATGATGGATGGATGGTGGATAGATGGATGGACAGATGATGGATTGATGGATGATGGATGGATGGTGGATGGGTGGACAGATGATGGATGGATGGTGGATAGATGGACAGATGATAGATGGATGGTGGATAGATGGTCAGATGATGGATTGATGGATGGATGATGGATGAAGGGATGGATGGTGGATGGATGGACAGATGGATGGACGTATGGATGGGTGGATGGTAGATGGATGGACATATGATGGATGGATGGATGGGTGGATGGATGGACGGGTGGATGGATGGATGAATGGATGGATGATGGATGGATAGATGATGGATGGATGGGTGGTGGATGGATGGACAGATGGATGGATGGGTGGAAGGATAGATATACATGGTTTGTCTGTGAGTCAGCATAATGTAGAATAAGAAACACTGGACTCGGAGTCACAAGAACCTAGTTCAAATTCAGACTTTTCCACTTACAAGCTGAGTGACATTAGGGAACTCTCCCAACCTGTCTGAACTTTAGTTTCTCCCTCTGTAGTGCAGGGATAGCTTGCAGAGTCACCATCTGTTGAGGACTGTGTATATGATTTAATCCTGAGCTTTTCTTCCTTGAAGCCTCTTTCCATGGTAAGGGCCAAGGGTGTGGGGGCAGGAAAAGGCAGTACCTCTCGTATGCTCTGGATCACAGGTGGGAGGTGGTTCTGGCTGTCGGTATGTGAGAGGCCACCCATGAACCCTGACGTTTGTCTCCCCCAGCTGTGATGGCCTTCCTCTTTGACCTGAAGGACCTGGTGGACCTCATGTCCATCGGCACTCTCCTGGCGTACTCTCTGGTAGCTGCCTGTGTGCTGGTCTTACGGTATGTATGGCTTTTCTGGGCCCCACGACAGATGCACATGAACCCTGCTAGCCTCTCAGCAGTTCAGATTAACGGTTTCTACACTGTAAATTTTAGGTGGTTGATAACTCCTTTGGGAACTGCCCAGGAGAGGGTGGGATGTGGTGGTTGAGAACCTAGTTATAGAGAATATCTGAAAAGAGTGAGGGGTGGCCCCACCTCCCTCTATCATGTGCCCTCATTTTTCTGGCTGGATGTTGGGAGAATAGAGACAGGTTCTCAGCCCAGCTGTTGGGCCTGGGTCCTGGGATCAGATTTTTTTGAAGGCTTGGGTGATGATTTCAGTGTGGGCCAGCTTCTTGGGACAGAGGAGACTGGGCACTGGCCCTGGTGGGAATTGGGAGAGTCCAGTGAAACTTCAGTCACTGTGTTGACCTTTGAAAGTCAGGTGACTATGATGTTGCACTCCTGCTAGAGAGAGGAGTCCCATTACATGGTGGGGTGGCTACGGCTGACATTCAGGAACACTTTCCATGTTCTGGCGATAATAAAGCAGCCTGGGTTTAGGCGTGGTGTCTCAGCTACCCCGGGGCCTCCCCTCCAAAGCGTACCTCTGGGCACCAATTTTCCTTTGCTCTGGAAGGACAGGCTCTGCGTCCCGAGTCCCAGAAATGGCCCGAGGTGGCATTCATTCTGAGAACATGTGCTCGTGAAGACTCGTAATGTTGGTCCCCTGGCAGAGCCTCCCTGTTTCCTTCTAGGTATTCCTATTGCAAGACCACCAATCCCATTCTAACGTGCTCAGCGGCTCGCGTGTGAAGTCTGGGTTGAGCCTTGGCAAGGAGTATATAGAATCAGCTCACACGAGGTTGCTAGTCTTCCTGCCACTTACTGCTTCCCGAGGGCTCAGTGCTAGAATGTTCTCCAGGGTCTGCCACTCTCCTCATTGACCTAATGGTGTGTGAGTGAATCAGTGAAAATATGGTGAATATCTTTATGCCTACTCTTAGACTGTGTGCAGGGTAATTCATCAGGCAGTCTGTTTTTCAACACTGGTAGAAAGATTTGAGCTGCATTCATTTTGGGTCGGAAAATAAGGAGCCTTATTTAAAAGGACAGCTCCGTTCGCAAGTAGCTTGTACCTTGGAAATCATGCCACGGGCTGGGTTCTTCATCCAGCTCTGTAGACTTATTTGTGCTAAGGCATTGGAGTTGTAAAATAAACTGATCCAATTAAGGCTCACAAACAATATCAAAGCCCTCAGCCTGCAGACACATTTCTCCAGGTCTCTACACCAAATAGGACCCTAATGTACTGCCTTCTATTTCTGTCTGTGCATTTAACTCCCTGCAGCCTAATTTTGTTAGAAGTGGCCTAAAATCTTTTTTTTTTTTTATATTTTGTTCAGATAGAGTGGGAGAGAGAGAAACATCGACGTGAAAGGGACACATCGAGTGGTTGCCACTCACATGACCCAACCAGGGCCAGGACAAACTGCAACCAAGGTACATGCCCTTAGCGGGAACCGAACCCGGGTCTCTCTGGACCGCAGGCCGATGCTCTAACTGCTGAGCCAAACTGGCCAGGGCAGAAGTGGCCTAAAATCTTAAGCTTCTAAGGGCTAATGCTACTTCTCAGAGTCAGAGAAACCATCTCAGGACATTTCTTCGGGATGGTTTATGGTAGAGCTCACGTTGTCTCAAAACGGACACTAAGGAGGGTGTTGCCAGAGCAGGAGCAGAAGGTGAGGACCCAGGCCTCCTCTCTGTCTCCACTTTGCCAGCAAAGACATCGTTCCTGTGATGCCTTATGTCCTGCCTTACCTTTGAAGGCTTACCAAGAACTTGAATTCTTGCTTGTTCGTTTGCTTAATAAAAGCATATCATGATGGTCACATTCATGTGCAGGTATCAGCCAGAGCAACCTAACACGGTATACCAGATGGCCAGAACTACCGACGAGCTGGACCAAGTAGACCAGAATGAATTGGTGAGCACCAGCGACTCCCAGACAGGCTTTTTACCGGAAGCAGAAAAGTTTTCTTTGAAAGCCATACTTTCACCCAAAAACATGGAGCCCTCCAGATTCTCTGGGCTAATTGTGAACATTTCAGCCAGCCTAATAGGTAAGAGCCTGCCCTTCCCTGTAGTGTGTCTGGGGTCCTGCTTGTTGGCATTGCATGGTTTCTCGCCCCTGGGCATGGGGTGAGTGCCAGAAGGGAGACACATCTGTCCTGCTGCTGGACGGAGCTGGCAGTGACTCCGTCTTCACCGTGGGTGATGCCTACAGAAATAGAGCCCCCTCTCCAAAAGTTTTGGGGGAGCTGAGGATATCTGGAAACTTGAGAAATGGTTGAGATACATCTCTCACTCCCTGTCTCTCTCTCTCTCAGCAATTCTTATCATTGTCTTCTGCCTCGCGGCTGTGCATGGGAAGGATGCCCTGGCCAGCGGGGAGTTGTGGGCAATCTTTATACTCATTGGCTCTGCCCTCCTCTGCTCATTGGTCACGATCATCATCTGGAGACAGCCTGAGAGCAAGACCAAGCTCTCGTTTAAGGTGAGCAGCTCCGCCCGATGGCCTGCGGGGAACCACTGGATGGCACAGACTCTGTGCGGGCTTCCTTAGGCCTGGGTGTCTGGCGGGAGGAGCTAGCCGTCCAGCCTCGGGAAGGCGGGCGCCGTGCAGACTTGCCTGCTGGGGACTGGGCCTGGCTCTTCAGTGGTGTGGCACCACCTCATCCTCAGGGGCTTCTCACCAGTGCTGCCAGGTGGCTCGTGCACCGTCACCAAGCCTTGGAGGTGACAAGGCTTGCACTTCAGATTATACAAATAACAGAATAGTTCAACCTTTGAGGTGAAGTGGAATCCTGCTAGCCCCTCCTTTGGTGGGAAGATAGCAGGAGTGGGAGATAAGAATAGGGCTCACTTGGCAGTAACTTGCCTAGACCCAAGCTCCCACCTGTTAGCATTTGCCGCATGTAGGTGTGTTGAGTTGGAGGCGGGTGGGGCACAGGGGTGGGGCTGGCACTCACTTCCTCTCCCCCATATAAAGCGGTCCTCGTACATGTCAGGCGTGGCATGTTTTGCAGGTAGGCTTGCTAAGTGATGCAGACGCTGCCAGCTCCGTCTCCCCCTCGCCAGGCTGAGGCTGCCACATTGTGTCTTTGCAGGTGCCCTTCCTGCCGGTCCTTCCTGTCCTGAGCATCTTTGTGAATGTCTATCTCATGATGCAGCTGGACCAAGGCACATGGGTCCGGTTTGCGGTGTGGATGCTGATAGGTAGGTCAGGTCGCTGGTTCTGCCGTGCCCAGCACGTGTGGGACATGTCCCCTGAGGGTCCCCCCCCGGCTGCTCACTCAGGTCCCTGCTGTCTGGCCTGATGGCTGATGTGTCTGAACCTCCCTCGGTTCAGATGTCCAAACACAGTGCAAACACAGGTGTCAGCAGTTTTCTCTCAAACAAGGATGCTGGTGACTGGGTCCTCCCTCCTTTCTGGGTACTTTTCGTGTTCTTAGCCTCTTGCCTGAATAGTCATGTCACTGGGCAAGAGCTCGAGTTAGCGAGAACAAGGCCGAGTCGGCTGTCCACAGAGCATCAGTCCGTCCGTCCCCCACCCAGGGGAAGCTGGGCTCCACCTCTCCTGGCTGTGGGCGCTGGTCCTGTCTGGGACTGGCCTTAGCCGATGTCTCTCAGTGTCCCCGACAAGAGCAGTAACCTCGGGGTCAGGGTTCTGCCAGCCGCTCAGTCCTGGGTTGCCACAGTGTGGGAGATGCTGCTGTGCCATGTCCAGGTGCTTGGCCGCCCTGTTCTCTGCAGATCCTCACCCTCGGGCAAGCCTGTGTCTGCTGGACAGACAGGGTCAGGAGAGCCTCTGGGAGACCGCTGGCTCGGTCTGCGCCCGGCCGCCGTGGCCATTCCTTGAGACTGCAGGGCTCGGCGCTTCCTGCCGGAGGCGCGGGCTCCCGGCTCCTGGCCGTTCGCTGCTTCCTGTGCCTTTGGGGGCTGAGTCCTTCCTTCAGTCGGCTCCTTACGTCCCCAGCACAAAGAGGGCCCGAGGCCACGTGCGTCACAGCCCCTGGGAGTCCGTTAGAAGCACAGATCTCGGGACCCAGCCACAGACCTTGGGGGCGCCCAGCCCTGGTCTGGGCCGGGTTCCTGGGGAGGAAAGGAGCAGCTGGGGCTGCAGGCAGCATGGAGACCCCGCCCCGGCGCAGAGAGCACCGCTGCCGGAGCCTCTGTCCTGCCCCTCTGGCGGCCACAGGCCCCTCAGTCAGGTGGTCCGTGGGGGGAGCTGAGGGACCAATGCCCCTCCCAGGGGCCCCCAGCTGAGCAGTTTCCCCTGCTCGGGAGGGAGTTTCCCTGGTGTGTGGCTCCCCAGAGGGTCACCTTTGCTGACCCTGTTAGAAAAGTCATGTTTTTTCTTTTTTGTGTGTGTTGTTTATCCTCACCAGAGGACATTTTTTCATTGATTTTTAGATAGAGTGGAAGGAAGGGAGGGAGGGAGGGAGGAAGAGAGAGAGGGAGGGAGAAAGAGAAACATCCGTGTGAGAGAGACACATTGACTGATTGCCTCCCACACTACCTGGACCAGGGCCAGGGGCTGGACCTGCAACCTCGGTACGTGCCCTTGACCGGGAAGTGAACCCTAGACCCTTGGGTCCTCGGACTGATGCTCTGACTTCTGAGCCCAAGTAGCAGGCTCGTGCTGTTTCTTTAAGAGAGGCTGGGGGCCGGGGCCCCACCTGCCCCCGTGGCCCTGCTCTGCTCACGCTCTCTGCTCTCCGACAGGCTTTGCCATCTACTTTGGCTACGGGGTGTGGCACAGCGAGGAGGCATCCCTGGCCGCTGGCCAAGCAAGGACTCCTGATGGCAATTTGGACCACTGCAAGTGACCCACGGCCTCGTCCCCCCGAGGTGACAGCAGGCCTGAGGGACGCCCACAGAGGACCCAGAGCGCCTTCCTGTCCCACCCGTGCAGTGGGACCACCCACAACCACAGGTGCCCGGAGCAGCGGAAGGTGCCCTGCAGCCCCGGCTCACCCGGCCTGGTCTCCTCTGACGGCTCGTTCCCAGGCCGCGTGGCTGTAGCTGGCCACTTCGTCTCCTAACTTCCCTCTGAACGAAGGAAGCAGCTCCTTCCCTGCGTGCTGCTGCGACCCCGGGCTCTGTCCTCAGGCACCGCCCTGGTCTCCAAGACGTGCCTGCTCCAGACTTGTCGCCATCTCCCTGCTGAGCCCCAGACCGCCGGCCATAGACGCGAGATGAGTACCACAAAATAGTGTGTCCCCACAGGCCCACCCCGAGCCGAACGACGGCAGTTTACTCGAGAAGGGAACAAGGACTGGTTTCCTCCTGCTTCCAGAGGGGCCTTAGGACTGTGAGCCCCTCCGCACTCGCCTCCGGGCTCTGCTTTGCCTCCTCGACCGCCCCACCGCCCCACCGCGGGACCGAGGGCGGAGGAGCAGCCGCGCCCCTCGAGCGAGGCTGCACGCACAGGAGCCCCTGCAGCACGTGCCCTCGGGCTCGGCCTGGTCCTGCTGCTCTGCGTCCCGAGGGCTGTGTCCTGAGGACCTGGAACGTGACGCGGTGTAGGATGGGCCTCAAGTAGGCAGAGCTCCAACCCCTTTCCGCGGGTCTCTGCCATCACTAAACCCTGTCCTCTGGGTCTGTGAAGGTCCCCAGGACAGGCGCCGGCTCGTTCTGAGGTGGCGGTGCCGGGTCCTCGCGGTCCCTCTGGAGTGAAGCAGCAGGAGTCGTCCAGGTATCGCCGTGAGTCCCTCCACCAGACACGCTGGTGCTGCACGGTCCCTTGGGAAATGATTAGCCTCTGCCAGCGCTGTGTTTTCAGAGTGGGGCCCGCACACGAGACAGGGAGGGTTGTATGCTGGCCCTCTGGTGTACCTGGGCTTGCGCACGGGTGTGTAACCCCGCCGACCCCTCCGTGCACTCGCAGATGGAAGCAGAGAACACGCTGTTGGCTGCTTCCAGGTAGTGACCCAGGGTCAGCCGGGCCCGTGTTGGCGGGAGCCGAGGGAGCTGGACATTTTGGACAACACAGAAGATGTAAATGCTGCTTTGGAAGCTAGTTTCCCATTTCTTCTCCCCCGGCTTTGGCATAGGTCTGGTAGAAAGAAGCCTGGTGCATGATAGCACTTGTCTTTTCTCCTGCCGCGGAAGCTCTTGGAGAAAGATCGAAGAATTGAACCTTCAGGTGGCTAGGTGGTCAGAGGAGGGCGGGCAGGGCGGGCTGGGCCGGTGTTCAGGCCCCAGACGGAGCATCCCAAGAGCTCACAGCTTGGATTTCCAAAGAAAGGTATTTAAATTCATGTAGCTTGGTGCTGTAAACTATTTTGATAAATATTAACTTATTTTGTTTGGGTTCGGATTGTCTGCTTTGGCTGTTCGTTGGCTCGATGTGGCCGACTTCCCCGCGTAAAGCACTGGAGGGAGAGTGGGTCCAAAGGAGAAGTTCTGTTTTTCACTTTCTCGTTCTGGCTGTAGTTCCCATTCAAGACAATGCCCAGCAGACTGATTACAGCCGACCTTTTCAGTAGCAACATCCATTCTGCAAACTGAAAAGGTGCGTTTCCCCTAAACTGTTCCATGGATGAGAACCTCCCAGCAGACGGGTCCCTTCCTTCCCCAGAGCCAGAGGTGCTCACGAGGCACAGGGCTCAGCCTAAGGGGAGGCCCCGACCCTCCCATCAGTGCCAGCGCCTTATGTAGGGAAGGGCCCCGGAGGGACTTGGACACAGTGCCCACGGTCCTGTGCTCTTGTTGGGTACTTTGTTCTCTGCTGTGGCTGAGGGCCGTGACGGAGGGGTGGTGTCGGGGCTGACCTCAGTGTGAATAAACTTACCACACTCCTCATCCTGCCCCGAAATACACACACACGCACAGACACCCCCCCCCCCCAGCAAAAGGAAAACCCATCAACAGTGCCCCTCCCACCAAACAAGAATAAGATTGTCAGTTTGTGGCTCACCCAGTATGCTCCCACATGTCAGAAATTCCGCACATGTAGACACAGCCTTTGGGGATCTTGTCTCTCCTCTGTGCTCCAGCCCCACAGGCTCGGGATGGAGACGCATCGGTGCCCTCCCAGCCTCTGAAGGCCCAGGGCACGTCTTTCTGACCTCACTCCCGGAACTCACATTGAGCACATGGGAGCCCCTGGGGACCCTCCAGGAGAGGACCTCTGCCCTGCGCGTGCCCCGCCCCACCCGCCTGCTCACATCCCTCGGCCAACTTTGGCTGGATTTGTTTTCCCAAACCAAGAGGGAGTGGCCATAGAGCCGTCTTTTCCAGGTGCTTTGGAAGGACTGTTAAATTCAGGCTGTCATCAGAACCCGTCACCTCTCCCCACCTTTGCTTTTATTCCATCGAGTTCGGGGCAGCCAGCTACCTGGTCCCATGTGCTGTGTGTTTTGCACCCCACAGGTCTCCCCTTGCTGAGTGTGCCGCCCCAGCTCCCATGGCCCTGCCCCTCTCCTCTCCCTTGGCATGGCCGTGTCCACACCTGGATGAGGCCCCTCCCCCTTGGCCATTGCATTTCCTCTGCTACATGTGCGGGTTGAAAGATGGGTTCTCCCAGGTGTCCCCTCCACCCCACCACTAAGCAGGCATTCCGAATGGACTGAGTCTTGCTGTCCCACATAGGATGGCCTCTAGCCTGACATTGGAGACAGACCCATGAGGTCAGGGCGGGAGGCTGGGTTCCTTGGATGAGTGTGCACACACCTCACAGAGGCCCTGTCCAGATGACAGGAAAGATCACTGGCATTTTGGGGACCTCTGCCTGGCTCTGTACCAGGACCCGTCCTCTCTGATTTGAACGCCCACTATTACTAGTACAGTGAGAGCCGTCACCGTGAGACAGCCCGTGGCGGGTGTCCGGCCGGCGGACAGCCTGTCTGGCACGTCCACACTGCTGGGGCGGGGGTGTGACTCGTGCGTGTGGGCTGTTAGTTCCCTTCGATGGGACTAAATATATGCTATGTATCGTGTTCTGTGTAATTTAAAGCATATCTGTTTGCCATCAGAATGAGAGTATTGTATGTAAGCTTCCTCGGGGAGAGTGGATGTACACTTTGACAGACTCGTGTGGACGTTTTTGGTAATGAAATGCTTTATCGATCCAGTGGTGTAAGAAGCTGCACTCTGCATCCCGTCATCGCCATGATGATGCCTGATGGAGTTTTAGGGGAAAAAATGTCAACTGACTTTCACCTTTATCACTATAATTCAGTCTGTGCCCATCACTTCATTGAGGGTGCGCTCCCTTTCGAAGAGGACGTGGACGGGCCAGAGGTCTCGGGCACAGCTGCCAAGGAGCCTCCTGGAGCGTCCCCTGAACGAGCCGCGGCTGGCGGGCCGCGCGAGACGGGCAGCTTGGCGGTGACGTCGGATTTCTCAGGGCGAGAGTCCAGCAGGCTCAGGCGGGGCTGGAGGACGGACTCGGACTTCGTTTAGTAACAAGGTGTAGGATCTTGTGTTTCATGATGGCAACCCTCTTACTTTGGGGACTTACTCTCCCATTTGAGAAGTTAAGTATTTAAGTTTCCTGTTTGGTTGTGCCTTTCGTCGATGGGTGTGAGGAGCGGTTTATTACTGAGCCTGAGAGCTGTGGTTTCCCCATAAACGTTTTCTTCCATTGAACATGGAGCCATTATTCAATGAATTGTGTTTATTATGTAAATTGTAAAATATTTTTAGGTTGTTTGATGCTCTATTTTTCTAATAGTTTTCTTATAGTTTCTTACGATTGTGATACTAGATTTAGATTTTTGATGCTAACTGCAAATCAGGCTGGTCCCACCTGTTTTTATTTTATCTTAAGAACAAGCATCGATGTCCTTCGCCTTTAAAATGTGAACCTCTGCTCTGTATGCGTTCGCACGGGCAGCACTGTCCATCGACAACTCCTGCCACACTGTGGTAAAGCCAGGCTGTTTGTGGTACATGATCTCATGCTTCTCCGTTCTAATAAATCCTGCTGTGGCTTCAGCGAGCACGGTGTCCATCTCGGTCCCAGCAGCTCGCGGCCAGGCCCAAGAGCGGCAGTGCCGCGGAGAGTCCCGCACCCTGCTCTTTGTGTCGTCCTGCTCCCCACAGGCAGGTGGAAATCCTTATTCCAACAATTAGCTGGGAAACCCACAACCAGGGCACCCCTCCAGCTTGAGTTAGGATCCTTGGCCACCGTCTCCCCACCTCCCGCTCTCCAGACTTGGGTGGGGTGCAGCCTCACACCAGGACACCCCTGCACACCCCCTGTCCCCCTGAGAAAGGAAGATTTTCTTGCAAGGGAGGCCAACGCAGTCCAATTGGGCTCGGCTCTCAGACACTGACAGGCAAAGATTCCTGATCCTGTGGGAAGATCTTTTGTGAAAGATAAGGCCTAACCTTTGTGTCCTCTGGGCTGATGACAGTGCTGGAGGGAGCTGGCCTGGCGCTGGCAGCTTGTCATGGGGAATAGAATGCTGACGCCGAGGCCCATCGCATGGTGGTCTGCCAAATGGTGAACTAACCACAAACCGGAGGGTGTGGAAGTGTCCCCAGCGCGTCCCCAGGGTGTCTGGGGACAAGGGCAGGCAGGCGTCCATTGCACCGCCCTCAGCTGGCTCCCTCAGGGCAGCTTCTCAGTTATAGACGGACTGGCTTCAGGAGGGTCCCAGAGAGCCCAGAACTGGGACAACGGTGGGGGCAGGGGATGCGCGTGTCTGCTAAGCACCAGCCTGGGCTGAGCACGTGGCGAAGGCCGGTCCCGCAGCGCCACACTGCCACCTGGTGGTCGGCATGCAGCCGACGGCCTCCCTCCGCTGCGTTCCAGCCTCATTAGGACACTCTCCAGTCCGCAGAAGCGATCCAGTCTGCAGGCATGAGGGGAAGTCGCCTGGAGCACCCTCCCTGCACGATGTGGTCATGATACGTTTCTGGTGAATCCAGAGCTGTACCAACAGCTTGGCATTCGCAATAGCAAGGAGTCCAGTAAAGGCTGTGCACCAGGCGACAGCTGGGAACTGCAGGCCACTGTGCACAACAGCCATGCTAGCCCAGCCTGGCTCAGCCTCCAGAGCCTGGCAAGGTCAGAACATCTACTAGGGGTGACACTGCCGGCCCTCTTCAAAGGGAACAGTTTTGTTTGAACAGATCGAGCCTGTCCACCAACCCATCAATACAGCCATTGAAAAAATGCACTGTGAGAAAAGGCTCAGGGATCCCAACGGGCAGCACCTCTGCTTGAGCCGGGCCCTTTGGCCTGCTTCCCGGCATGAGCAGCACCCAATCCCGGGGAATCAGGCAGAGCTGGGGAAGGGAGAGCGGTTCAGGTCACACTTTCCCATGGATGCTTTAAAATGTTACTCCTTATAACAATGAAGTTGGCCCAGTTGGTTAGAGCTTCATCCCAATACACCAAGGTTGTGGGTTCAATCCCTGGTCAGGGCCCATACAAGAATCAACCAATGAATGCATAAATAAATGGAACAACAAATCCATGCTTCTCCCCCCACAACTCAAATCAATAAACAGAAAAAAAAAGTAAAAACACAATGAAGTTACTTGTCAAGTGCCTGCTGAGATACACGTGGTCTGCAGTCATGGGAGGGGGGATGCATATGCTCCGGGCTATATGTCTGGTGCAGGGAAGACAGAAACCACCACACACAGCAGCAGGGAGCGCAGTGGCCTGCTGGTTGTCCATGCAGGGGGTGCCCTGGCATGCTGCGGGGCCCTCAGTCACATGCGGCAGGGTGACCCCAGCTTAGAGCTGTATAGCACCCCACCCCCCGTGGTGCCTGCACCGGAAAAACCTGGTAGACTTTTAGGTAAATTAGCCCCTCTGGGGTGGATAGAGAAGAGAGCTGGGCTGGTAGAAACCCCAGGGGAATGTTTTTTGGTTTTGTTTTTAAGGGTTTTGAGCCCTGGCCGGTTGGAGCATCGGCCTGCAGACCAGAGAGTCCCGGGTTCGGTTCCTACTAGGGGCACGTACCAAAACAAACAAACAAAAAGGTTTGAGAGAAGCCAAGTGCTTAAAAAAGATATTAAGCAAACCTAAGTGCTTTAATTGCCCTTGTCTTAACCAGGACAGCATATCAGCCTTTGGGGTGTGTGTATTAAACATTTGACACACACTCTCCAGTGGGCAGAACCCTAACTCTTGATAACGGCGCAGCCCCAGAGATCTGGCCCGATGCCTGCACTCCGAGGCCACCAGCTGTGCAAACAGGTGGGAAGTACAGGCACACCTCCTATCGCGGTGCTTTGATTGACCGCACATCACAGATGTTGTGTTTTTTACAAATTGAAGGAAGGACCTTCCGCTAGCTCAAGGATTACAACTTGCTTCATTGCAATGTTTGCTTTATTGTGGTCTGAAATTGAACCCGCAACCCCTTCGAGGTATGCCTGTAACCACTGCTGGAAGGAGCCTCTCCTTCCTCTGAGACGACCCAAGGCCTCCAGCAGGCAGAGCAGGCTGTGCAGGGCTCCTTGGCACAGAGGAGTGATGAGGGGTGTCGCCGCGGATCAGCTGTGGGAGCAGGCAGCTCTCCGCAGACAGGAGGAAGCCGCTCTCTGCACACACCGGTGCCGAGGCACCAACTGCTCCTCTGTCTGTGAAGACGAGACCTCACGTGTGGGGGAAAAGAAATGGAAGGTGGTTATTATAAAAGTGGAGGGGGGCTGGGGCAGGTTGACAAGTGAATCATTAATACATAGGTGGTCGCCATCAATCATCTGGAAGTGTGGGTGACTGAGCGGGGATGCTGAGGTCCTCGGAGGTCTGGGAGTGACTCGAGGGGATTTGTTACCCACAAGAGCTCTCTCGTTCGGCGAAGTCAGCGCCGAGCTGCTGCAGATCCCGGGCTGCACACATGGGTGTGGGGATCTCAGACCTGCTGAGTCAGGGCCAGGGCTCTGGAGACTCAGGGGCCAACCCTGGTCAACAGACACGAAGTCCAGCCTGCCAAAGGCCTCCCCGGCTGCTTTGGATCCCACCCGAATTCCCTGAAGGCTGAGCTGGCCCGGCCAAGAGTTACATCAAGTGCATGTCACAGGAGCTCCCTCAAATCAATTTTAATATGCTTCAAACACAAATATGCAACACAGAAGTGTAGGGGTCAGGTAAGGATTGTGTGACCCCATTTGAACAATCACACCCAGTGTGCCAATCCATCAGCCCCTCCCCCACCCTGACACCCAGCCAGAATCCTGCCCCAGCTCTGGGGGTCTGGGGGATGGGGAAGGGCACAGGCTCAGCTTCCAAATACCAAGGAAGTGTTGGTGAGGTTGGTGGTTTGTCGGAAGCCGGCGGGGCTGCAGCATCTGTGTGTGGGAAAGTTCCGGCCTGGGAGGTGGACGACAGGACTTCCACGTTGAGAGAGGTCCAAGTCCTAATGGAGTGCGGGTGCATTGCCAACAGGGGGCACCGTGGCTGCCACCCCTCGTGTTCCAGGATGACAGCCAGACGTGATGGGTGTCCATGACCAAGCGATGAAGCCAGGGCATGTAGGAATGAGCTCCAGTGCCCAAGGTGAGGGCAGAGCTCCAGTCCACCCGACAGGGGACGAGGTAGTGCTGCCACCACTCCACCTCCGACTTCAGCAGGCTGACACCTGCAGCACCTGACGGAGCACTGGCATCTGTGTTGCTGTGTAACTGCATCTGGTTCCTCATTTGGAGAACTGAGCTACTGCTGAGACTGTTTGCAGGTGGTGCCCGCTAAAAGAAGACATAACTGTGCATTTTGTCAACGTGGCATGACCTACTCTAATGGAGTGCCCCACTCAGTATCACAGCATCATGCGGAGCCACGAAAGGAAAAGATTAATGTGTCTTCGATGGGTATCTACTGTGCATGTCCCCAGGGCGGGCAAATACCCTTGGAGATTTGCTAGAAACGAACGAGATGGACCTGAGGCCAGGAAGCCCAACCTTGACTCAGGTGGGGAACACAGACCAGGTCTGTCTTCATGCCAGCCAAGCAGGCAGGCCCCTGGTCAAGCCGACTCCTTCCTTCGGTGGCTGTCTCTTCCCCACCACAGGTGTCCCTGCATGAGTCCACTTGCCTTGGTCACGCTCAAAGACAGCCTGTGCTCAGGATAATCTCCAGGGGTCTTAGGGAAGAAAGTGCAGGGCCTCTGTCACAAACAGGAAACAAAGGCATCGTTATCATCACTAATCAACTGTTAAAACTACTTCTCTTTAGGTGTCATGCTCCTAACCTTCCACGCACTACAGGAATACCTTTCACATTCTACTTCTACCATTTCAGAGACAGATGCCAGTCCAGTCGCAGCGACCACTGGCTGGCGGTTTCAACAGGCCCCTCCGTGTGGAAGAACCTCTGGGTCTAAGACGAGACCACTGTCAGCTGTGGCATTGCTCACTGATCCTGCGGAAAGTGCACCTTGTTCCTGGAAGGTCGTGTGTGGTCTCGCACTGCTTGGAACATGCCCCCAGGACGGAGGTGGTGTTTTTCTGGGTGCCCCTGCTAGAACCCCTGAGCCAGCGCATCATGCAGTGATGGGGATGCAGGAACCAAACGGAAAGGGCGGTGCTATGATGTGGGGCCTGAGGGTCCTATCGGAGGGCCGACCATCTGCAGCATCAGATTGGAGCGAACCACACAGCCGGCCGGAGCTTCCCTGCTCCGTGCTGAGTCAAAGCACAGATCTCGCCATCCGTTTTCTTTCTCAAGGCAGGATGGCGAAGGTCGTGGTCAACTCCAAGGTCATCCTCACCCTCACTCCAGAAGGGCTTGCTCTTCCATCCTTTCCCGGGGGGGGGGGGGTGAGGGGGGGCTGCGGAATGACAGATTCCAAGATGCCATTTCGGAAAAAAGCAAAACTTGTGTTTACAAGATGATCCACAGGAGGTGCTCACAAAAACACCATCCCGCCAGAACCCCAAGGACTGTCCTCTCGAAACCGGTCCTGAGGAAATGCTGGCTCGTGCCGGCCTGGAGAAAGCGCCCACAGAACCCCAGCGGGCTGCTCCAAAAAGCTGTAAACCCACAGGGGTTCCCACTCTCTCCCTGGCCACTCACGACAGGAGATTCGTAATTATAACCTGCGAAGGAGTAATGGTGACTTCACATCACGTTGACTAAGAAGCTGATAGTTCCAAAGGCAGTTACCGTGCAGGAGTCGCTGGTGTCTGTGTTAAATATAGTACCACTTGGTGGCAGGTCAAAGGCGCTTCTCTCTCTCTCTCTTTTTTTCTATTTTGGGTAGAAATATTCCTGGGAAGCTAGATAGAAATGCATTTTCATTTCCGAATTTTTCTTAGGCACAAATTAGAAAACTGCTGACCTTCACCAAAATATGTCAGCACTTCGTGGTATAAAAAATGCAACTCAGAACCGCCGCGTGCGCAGCAGACACGTTCAAACACACGCCGGTGCAGTCCCCTTGGCGACTCAGTGTAGGTTCCAGACTCAACTACTTGTCACTAACTTGAAATTCATCGCCCAAGAACAACGGACATGTCTTTCTCTCGGCTCTAACTACGTCAAACGTTTGCTCATCGGACACTAGGTGAGCACGCTCCTAGGTGCCAATACCGGGGCAGGCTCACAGCGGGGTCAGGGCGCGGTGCAGCCACCGGGCATGCGCACCGGCGGGGCGGGCGGGGCCTCCCTCCCGGTGGAAGCGCGGGGCGGGGCCTCCCTCCAGGTGGAAGCGCGGGGCGGGGCCTCCCTCCAGGTGGAAGCGCAGGGCGCGCGAGGAGCCGCAGCTCCAGCGGCTGCCTGGTGGCGGCGTCATCTGGGCGTGGCGCTGACTTTGGCGGGTGAGGAGGGCCCAGAGGAGGAGCCACGGTAAACAGGGGATGTGGGTGAGAGTTTAATTGGGCTGGTTGGGTCTCCAGTTTGGAGTTTCCAGAGCAACTCTTCGTTGGTCCGGCTCAACCTCTTCTTCTCCTGGGTCTCCTTCTCGACATACTCCTGGAGGTTGGCGTTTTCCTCGGACAGCTGTCTGCATGGGGAGGAGACACCAAGCAGCAGTCATGCCCAAGGCCTTGGCTTGAGATGCCAGGCCAAGGATGCCTGTGGGGACGGCGGGGATGAGTCGGGCCGCCGTCACCCACAGCCTTGGGTTGAGCCGTGACTGTCGCCTGTCCCGCCCACACACTTCCCAGAGCCTCCCTGCCAGCACCGAACCGCTCACATCCCGTGCGTCAGGGAGGTGCTGGCTGTCCAGAGCAAACCCAGGGGCGGGAGAGGGACGAGGGGCGCAGGGAGCTGGTGGGAGGGCCTGGGGAGGCTTGGAGAGAGTGATGCTGACAATAATGATGGCACAGGCACAGCGACTGTGAGCCCTGAAGGACAGAGATGGCCTTTTCGAATTGCCAGCATCCAGCTGGGTGCCTGGCAGGTCTCAGCCCTCATGGACAAAGAGAACCTGGCTTTCCAAGCCAAACACTTTCACTCCACACTGACAGCAGAAGGGAGCTATCTCCACATCCTTCCTCGGAAGTTGGGGGACCTCAGAGCAGGGGACCGAAATGGAAACAACATCACTGAGGAGCAGCTGCTTCCCGCTGCGTGACTTCTCTCTGCGGTCCTTTGCGGGGCCAGCCCTTCACTGCCTCAGCCAGGGTGGCCCAGGACGACCGCGCAGCAGCCGAGGGGGACGTGGGTGTGCACCACCGAGTGAACAGAGCGCAGGGTCGGGCACACGGCGGTTCCCTCTTCCCTGGGGACACCCCGCGGGCACCCCTCTCCAAAATACCCAGGAACAAACCCGCCCAGCAACCAGCTCTGACAGGGGCTCCTGCCACATGCTTGTGTCTGGACGGCCAGGGAAGCCTCGCAGCTCAGAGTGAGGTCAGGTGGATGAGGGGACAAACACAGAGCCCTCCAGCTCAAGAGCAGAGCCCCCTGGGGGTGACCCCTGGCTTGTGAGCTGGGACACCCAGGCCCGCTTACCTTGTGACAACGGTGTTCTGGTCAATCCTCGCCTTGAGGTCTTCGTTCTGCTGCTGGAGAACCTGGATCCTCTCCTCCAGGACGATGTTCTTCTCCGCCTGGAAAGGGCGCAGTGTTACGAGGTCCCCAGCAGGGCCACCTGGCAGGACGGAGACCAGTGCCCTTGCAGGGTTAGCAAGAAGGGTCTGGCAAGCTACAGTGGGTAGTGCTTTGGTGGGCTGTAAAATCAGGTTAGAGGGCTGTGGCCAGCATTTTTTAAAAAGAACGCAGAAGAGAAAACACCGGAATGTACTGTATATAATAAAAGTAAGTATTGTTATATATATTTTAGACAGTTTGATTTCATATATATTATGCACGTGTGTATGTGCATGTACTGGAATCCTGTGTAGAATACATTTTTTTATAGTGAGTGTCCCCAGGCCCTTGCCATTGTCAGGGACAAGCCGTGGTCAGCACGAGGACCTCGTTTGGCTAATGGGCCCCATGGTCCTTCCCTCTTCGCCATCAGGCCCCCTTGCTGGGGTGCACACGCCCTGTGAGGGTCTAAGTTAAGGAAAGATGGAAATATAATGTGGACACGCTGTTCCTTCGGAGGCTACAGGCAGCCGGAACGCAGCGCACAGGGCCAGCTTGGCGCGTTAGCGGGACATCACGTCCTCCAAGGTGGTCGTTGCCCCACAATCGATGCCATGCTGCCTGTCACGGGGTCTCGCGGGGCCGGAGACCTAGCTGAGGGACAGCCCCGTTCTAAGGTGAAGTTGGAAATAAATCAGGTTTTGAAAAGAGAGTGACACACTCACAATTAGTGTAGTTAATCTCTCAAGAAAACGTCACTTCTCCAGGAACAAGGGTTAGGAATCAGAGCCACAGCCCTCCTCTCTGCTCCCGGGAAGCGGGAAGTGATCAGATCACCTTTCTCCCCCGAAAGGGTTTGGGGGGAGAAGTCACGCACGCCTGCGGAATGCCTGGTGCACGGTAAAGACAGCCACGGCGACCTCGAGGCTGCGGGTGATCGGACAAGTGGACGCGGGGGCCCAGCCTGGAGGAGGGAGGTCACTGCTCCCCCCCCCCAGCCAGACTACAGGCAGCACAGGAAGGCAGGGCTCTGTCCATGAACCGTCCACTGGTCTCAGCTGTGGTCTGCTGAGACGCTCTGGGCTGCTGAGGGCTGTTGAGTGGGCCAGGTGGCCGACGTTAGCCAGGATGCTGGGGAGACACTCCAGCCAGGTGTGCCCCTCCTAACTGATAGGACAGTGCAGACAGAGGTGATGCAGAAAGGGCCGGCCGGATGAGATGGGGACATGACAGCTGAGTGCAAACCTGAGCCCTGCACCAGCTCCTGATGGGGGACCCGCTTCAGGGACACTTTGGAAACAAGGGGAGAACTTTAAAAGTCAGAGCAGGTGATTAGTTCCTGAGGTGGCAGGTTAAAGATGTGCTAACGGAAGGAAAACGAGACGTGAAACTGTCCGTGTGCAGGGCTGTCTGGTACGTGTACACGTGTTCATGGAAATGTTAACTGTGGTAGAAATAGATTTTAATTTTCTTATTTTTGTCTATCTTATCATTTCCTATAGTGCACATGTTTTCCATTTACTATTTAGAAATTTTGTTGATAACGCATGCCTTAGAACTGTTAATATTTTCTAACTATTTTATTATTTATTTCTTTATCTTTGTTGTTGAAAGTGTTACAGATGACCCCCCTTCTTTCTCCCATTGACCCCTCCTACCCGCTCCCACCTCCCTTCTGCCTTCCCCAAACTACTGTCTGTGTCCTTTGGTTGTGCATAGAAGTTCTTTGGTTTATCTCTTCCCAAACCCTCCACCACCCCCTTCCCTCTGAGGTTAGTCTGTTAAAAGTTTGTTTTACATATAACAATTTTTTTAAAAGGAGAAAACAAAACAAACCATAAGAATCTGAGAGCCTGGGGCAGCTCCGCCTCAGGATGGTATCTCCTTGGAAACAGGCTTCCCTGCGGCTAACTTTGGACAACACTCTCTAGCCCTGGCATGGCCCTGAGCCTGCAGGTAGGGAGTGGACTCTGGGCGCTCTGTTCCCGCAAAGGGGCGCCCTTTGCTGTTCTGTGGGAGCCAGGCTGAAAGGTGAGAGCGCTGGGCTCCCTCCTGGGCTCCCTCCTGGGCTCGGCCCCTGCTGGCTCCTGAGCTGCCCCGTCCTCAGGCCCCATCTCCTGGGAAAGGCGGGTCCTGGGCGCCCCCTGCCGGCAGAGGCGGGGAACACAGCACAGTGCTCTGCGTGGGGTCAGGGCTGCTCTCTGTGCAGGCTCCCCCCTGGGAGGAAACAGCACTTCAGAGCCATGGGTCGGGGATGGAGGCAGGCGGTCAGGAGGGTGCCCGAGAGGTGCAAACTGAGGCCACCTCTGAGATCCTCCCAAGAATGCCTGGCTTCCTGATAAAGGCCCTGAGACTCGACAATGGAATTATCCCCCCCGGGGAAGCACTCCTGAACAGTGTCAATGTGGACATCAGTGGTGGCAGGGAGGTCACTAACCTCTTTCCAGGAAACAGACTAACTCACCAGCTTTTCCAGCTCCATGATCTTCTTTTCCTGCTGGTGTATTTGCTGATTCTTCATCTCCAATACCTGTGTCAGACTCTTCATGTCTTCCTCCAAGTGCTGATAGGGAGCCAGTGCGACCTACAGGGGTGGGGAGCAACAAGCTGTCATCGGGGTCTGGCAAGGCCAGTGTTCACCCAGGTCACCGGTTTCACCAAAGCCACTCTTCTTTAATAAGCTGCAGAGTAGGTGCTGGAGCCCGAGAGAGAGAGAGAGAGAGAGAGAGAGAGAGAGAGAGAGAGAGAGAGGAGGGAGAAGGGAGAGAGAGGAGGGAGGAGGGAGAGGGAGAGAACATTAGCACATAGCTTTCCCTGGTAAAGAAGCCCACTGGTGTCCCACTGGGAACGCAACTAAACGCCCAGCTCCCTGGGAAATGGAGGGAAGGCAGTCACCACTGAAGTGTCTGGATGCTGGAACGGCTCGACACTGCCAGCTCCCCCAGAGGGAACTCGTGGGGTGAAAGGAGTCAGGTCAACACTGGCTTTGGCTGTCACCTGACCACTGGATGCAGCAGACAGGTGGGGAGTTCCAGGCCCACCTGAGCCCATGGAGAGGCCCAGCCCAGCTCAGGACATGAGCAAAGTGGTTTAAAAAACAGAAAAGGCATTTTGGACAAAAAATGTTAGTGTGATGGTGCCAGGTGTAACAAATCTGTGTGTGTGTGTATATATATTAGGTACATTCAGTTTGAATTTCAGATAAACTATATATTTTTTAGTATAGTATCGAAAGGGACATATTTCTAGTAGAAAAGCCCACGTCTCTATAATGCAGATCTAACTGGCTGGGATGTGTTTTATATGCAACCCTACATCAGAGGAAAGGGTGTTTTGCCAACTTTCCTGGAAAAATCTGCTCAACCTACTAACTCGGGCTTTGCTGGAGCCTCCCGGTGCCGCCTAGGGAAGCTGGGGACAGCGGGTGGGGGTGCTGGGAGGGCAGAGTTCCCGGCAAGCTTGTCTCCGGAGCTCGGGGGCTGGCTGGGGACATGTGGCAAACGCAGTATTTAGGTGGAGAACCCACAGCTGTCCTCTCTCTGAAGAGAGGTGCTGACAGGAGCAGGGAAAAGTCCCAGGGGGTCCTGCCCAGCTGTCACTTCAGCAGTAGATTAGCACAGAGGCCCTGTCACCGGGGACCCTGCGGAGGAAGCCACACGGCCTCTGGGGTGAGGCCCCCAGAGACCCCCGGTGAGCCTGGGGCCTCGAAGCTCCAGCACCTCCAGCTGCTCTTCGGTGTTTTTCCTCAAAGCCTCCTCGAAGCGTCTGGCTCGGTCCCGCAGGGAGTGGCTCTGGAAGGTCAGCGTGTCCACCTGGTCCTGCAAGTAATGACAGAGAAGACCAGCTCAGGGCACTGCGGCCTGGGAGCTGCCACCAGGCGGCCCTGGGCAGCACACGGGCAGCAAGCTGAGGTGCTCCGCCCACACGCGGGGACCTCCCGCAGCGCCTGGCCGGGCCCCAGCAGGCTGCCGCCGCCCCCACCCACCCCAGCTCCGCGGCTGCACCGTCAGCTCCCTGTCGCCCAGCATCACGGCCAGCCTCCGCGCGGCCTCCAGGGCGCAGGCTCTGCATGTCCCTGCTGTGAGCTGAGTCCGTCCTCCCCCTGCAGCCCATCTGTCCCCTCAGCTGAGACCTGTTTAGGCCATGCTCCTGGCCCCAGCACGCAGCGGCCACCAGGCAGCCCTTGTGTGCAGGCGGAAGGGAGGGTGTCTGAGGGCCCCCACCCCTTCGGGCTCACCCTCCCTGGCGGCACCAGCAATGGCTGACTCGGAAGTTCCCAGGCAGGTCTGTAACCTTAGAACCCACAGCCTTCCAACCAACTCTTCTGCACAGAGAACCGGCTTCATCCCGGCCCATCTGAGGAGCCGGGGTCGTTGGTTCCGTGACTCGGCACAGTAACAGCGTAATGTGGGCAGCGCCAGGCTTGCCCTTCCTCCGGGCACACGAGCCTGCTTGGCAAACCATCCTCTGAAGGTTGCTCGTCCTTTTTGTTTGTTTCTTTGTTTCTAGTTGCTTCTATTTCATTTTAAGCAACAAGAGCCCCAGAGTGCCATTAAATGCACCAGGGCAGTGGGTTGTCAGTACCACCGGCCTGGCTGTGTGGGTCAGAGCCCAGCCCGCGCCTCGTATTGCCACCGGCTCCTGCGCCAACTTCGTCCGCACCAGCATTTCCTCCAGGCCTCTCTTCCTCCATCAAAACCCACAGCAGAACATCCGCCAGGCAAATACCACCTCGGCTGGATCTCAAATATCAAACTGTGGTTTTTCTGCCATACATACCAGGACTCAAAACCGACCCAAAGGCACACACGGGTGCCCAGCCCTGACTGTTCCCGGCTTGGGTTGGCTCCTGTAGGTCAGGTAAGAGGCACAAAGACCCAGCTGGTGACGGGGCCCAGCACTGGCCACTCAGGAGCTAAGCAATGGCATGACAATAACAGCGATGATGATAGACGTAAATATAACAATAATATATGCAACTATGAGAATCGCGATAGCTGCTACTTACTAGCATGTGCCATGAGCCTACCTAGGGCTGCACACTTGACACAGTTCTCAGCCGGCTCACTGCTTAAGGAGGAGCTGTTATCAGCACCATTTCACAGATGACTAAACTAAGGCTCACAGAGCTTACATCTTGCCCAAGGGTTCAAAGCCAGTAAGGGGGTGCTGGGGGGATGTAACCCAAGAGCTCAGATCTGTACCACCAAGCCTGCTTCTCCACTGCCCGCTGCTCCAGGAAGTTGGTTCTAGCAACTCCATCTCCTTGCACCACGTCACCTCCAGCCCAAGTGGATTCTGCTCGTGGGCGTCCCAGCTCACGTCTGTGCCACGTGTGACTGAGGTGACGGCAGAAGAGGACTCACTCACTCACGGATGAAACGAAACTCGACTTCCCTCTGGGGCTGGACGGGGTTCTGTTGTGTCACGTCTGGCTCTCACGCCCCGGTGCGCACGCCTGGAGGGCAGCGCGGTGATGGGGGAGGGGCGCGTGGTGCGCGCAGACAGCAGTGGCGTGAATTTGCTGAGGACACGCCGCGTGAGGACCGCGTCCTGCAGGCCCATCGACAGGCCAGTGGTGGGCTCACGGCAGGCTCTTCCCCATTTAAAAATTATGAATAGTTGAGTGTTGACCCCGCACCAAGAGGTCACCGGTTTGATTTCCGGTCAGGGCACATGCCCGGGCTGTGGGCCCGAGCCCCAGTGGGGGGGGGATGCAGGAGGCGGCCAATCAGTGTTCTCTCTCATCGATGTTTCCATCTCTCTCTCCCTTTAAAATCAATGAAGAAAAAAATGTCTTTTTAAATTATGAATTGTGCTCTCGGCAGTTGTGATACTGGTATCTCACCGTCCGGGACCCTGTCTGGGCGGGGCCACCTCAGGGGAAAGTGAGCCATGGGAGAGGCACATCCCGGCTTTCTGTCTGTCATGGTGCCCAGTGGACCCTCACTGTTATCGTCATCACGACGTCCAGATGTGAGTGTCCCCAATATTTAAAAACATAACTTTGCTCTGATCGAGATGCCCACAGCTGGGGATGGAGGCTGGGCCACCAACCTCACGCTGGCTTCCCAGGTGCCCCCCCCGGGGGGCATTTTTTCACAAGGCAGCTGGCCGAGGACTCTGGAAGGCAGGAGGGAGGTGCAGGTGATCTGGGGGACCCTTCAGAAGGAAGCCAGGCTGCTCCCTGGCAGGGGCCCCACATTTTCTGTAGGTTGGCAGTGGCAGGCTCTTTCCATCCCCCCACCTCCAGATGACCGATGTCTTTTTATAATCCCAGACTGTCGTGTGGCCTCTGCCCTTGACAGCTCCCCTTACACCATTCCACAGCCTGGAACGCCCTTCTCCCAAGCCCCCCTTCCTCCCACACAGCTCGGGGACTCCTCGGACCACAGGAGTGTGGAGCAGTCGCTCGCGCCGCCCACGGTGCTCACGGTGCTACTCACTCGGCAAGTGTGTGTCACCTTCTGTGGTTGCCTGTCACTGTCACAACTCTCTGAGTAGCCAGGAAGTTCCTCAGGCAGAGGAGTCCTGTCTCCCTCCGTACCCCAGTGCTTAGCACAGGATCTGGTACACAGCAGGTGCTGGTACGTGTCTGTGGACAGGACCAGCGACGCTGCCATCAGCCTGACATCAGAGTTAAGGCGATATTAACCTGTAATGACAGCCGCAGCTTTTCAAAACTGTCTTCCAGTTCTTTCTTTTCAAGCTCGTGGGTAGACACCAGTTCTGGAGAGAAGACATCAAATGGTTAAGTTGGTCTTACTTCCGAAAAGGATCAAACAAGACTCTTTTGCCAGACTCTAAATGAGGGATTGGGTGACCAAGGGACTCTGGTACACAGCAGATCGAGCCCAGAGAGCCTCCATGACTTTGGAATTGTATGTGGTGTTATTTAGAAGAGAAAAAAAGAGGAGAGGAATAAGAGACAGGGAGGGAAAAGGGGGGAAAGAAGAACAAATGAGGGGGAAGTAGGTAGAGGGAGTGCGCACACACACACACACACACACACACTCTCTACCCTGCTCTCCCACCATCCCGGACAAGTCAGCTCTCCATCCATGGTCCCCGTGGATTCTCCAAGTGTTCCTAATGGTAAAACAACTGGGTGATCAGTGTTAAGGCTCCGTCTCCATCCTCTCCCAGGGTCACCGTTTCTCCACCACAGAGCAGCCACCTGGGCCGACGGAGAAAGCTTTCAGGGTGAGCCGAGCCGCGAGCAGCCACCCTCCGCCGCGGTTCACTAGAGCAACGGGAGGACGAGCGAACCTGTGTCTGCAGGGCCGCTGAGCCACGCTCTGAGAACCACAGCCCAGGGGTTCGCTCCAGGAGAGTCGACGCGAAGGCACTCAGACGGACGGGAGACTAATTGGACTGGTTCCTCTCGGAGAGCTTGGAACCAGTCTGTGCTAAGCCAAGTGTCATTCCAGTAGTAATTTGCAAGTTAGGCAGAAAGAGATGTCATGTAAGACTTATTAATTAAGCAAATGGATTCTCTTTTCCTCCAGATGGGAACAGTCTCACTGACTGGGTGAAGCTCATCTCATTCTGACTACACAAGCAATTTGTTTGGATGTTATAACTGGAGAGAGGAGAGGTCTCATTAATCAGCCTGGGTCACACATGCTTCAGACAGGAGATCAACCATGATCACTCTGGCTGGCCAGAGCTGCAATTAGGCAAGACTTTGTCGTTTCCATTGATCCAAATCTTTGAACTAATGATGGAGAAATCCAGATGTTAAAGCTGAAATTTACATTTGGGGAAAAAAAAAGTGTGCTGATGTCACTAAGATAAAACCATTTGCCTTCTGTCTAAATGATTAGTTTTATGAAGCATTGAGAACATCGTCCTAACCGTCATCACAACTGTTTTTGCTACTATTAGATGCATTATATGTATAATTCAAAGGCCTTGGATATGGTGTCTAAGCAGGCTTTGCTAGTGAGAAAAACCTACCAGGTCTATTTATACGAAAGTCCGGAAACAAAAGGCAGGTGTGGCTGCGCCATTTCCATTCCTACTCCCGCCCGGAGACCACTTTTCTACAACAGTGATGGGCTCCGGGACGTTTTCAGATGATCCTTATACCTCGAGAAAAAGGCGGGATCTATTCTGGGCCTGGCACAAACCATGGCCCGTGTCTATGTTCCCATAATGTCCTTATCCCAGAGTCACTACTGCACTCTGAGACAACGGTTCTCACATCCTGCTGCATATCAGAACCGCCAGAGGCCTGGGCTGCTCCCCAGACCCATTCAATTGGCATCTCCGGGGTGGGACTTACTCATCAGTGTTGTTTTTTTTTTTTTTATCCTCACCCGAGGACATTTTTCCATTTTTTGTTCAGGTAGAGTGGGAGGGAGAGAGAGGAACAGAGAGAGAGAGAGAAACATCGACGTGAAAGGGACACATCGAGTGGCTGCCACCCGCACAACCGACCAGGGCCGGGGACAAACTGCAACCGAGGTACATGCCCTTAGCGGGAACGGAACCCGGGTCTCTCAGGACCGCAGGCCGACGCTCTAACCGCTGAGCCAAACCGGCCAGGGCTCATCAGTGTTTTTTAAAAAACGCCCAGGTGATCCCAAACTGGCATGGGCTGTTTCTGCCCCAGACGTCTGCCGCCAACATTTTTCCTGTAGAGCTAACTGGCTCCAAGGCTACTTTTCTGTAAACAAGTCGAAAGAACCGGTGGGCAGTTTGGAGTTCTGGGGGTGGTTGTTCAGTGTCATTTCTCCACTGATGATTCTCACCGTGACTCCCATCTTGACATCGTACATAATGTTAGCGCCCTCACTGTGGTCTATACAGGGGTGAGCAGAGACGGGGGAGAGGATTTGCTCCGGAGCTGGTTTCTCACTTTGAAACAGTGCGTCGGGAGGGGAAAGGGAGGCCCTGGCCCTCCCGAGGGCGCAGAGGGGAACCTACGTCTCCCGCAGGAGACAAGTGCTGAGCTCCGAGCCACGACATAAAACCAGCTATTTGAGCAGCATCGCTGTGAATTTATACACCTTTTAAATAAAGCCTTAATTTTGTTATTCCTTTTTTCCCCACGTTTCATTAAGTCCTTTTGAATGTCCCTCTATTTGCTGTGATTTTATTTTTTACGGCAAAACTGCGTACACACTTAGTTCGTGGTGCAGGTGTGTGCGGCAAGAATGCTTGAGGGAAAGATGCGGACGCCCCGGTGTGAAAACACTTCCGAGGGACCGGCGCTCGCTCTGGGAGGTGCACTGTCGGGACACGGGTGGCACACTGACCTCGTTCTCGGGGGGCCACCCTCCCTTGTGCCCTGCTGGGGCGTCTTCCTGTATAACAGCTCCCAGGGCTGGGGGCTAGTGCTTCAGGGGCACGGACACGAGTGCTGAGCACCACAAGCAGCCTTCCTGTCCACAAAGGACACTTAGTAGTGAACCACGCCCTGCCAGCCGGCTGAGCGTCATCCCCTACATGGAAAGGTTGCGGGTTCGATCCCCGGTGGGGGTGAGTACAGGAGGCAACCCACTGAGGTTTCGCTCTCACATCGATGTTTCTCTCTCTCCCTGCACTCTGTTTAAACATCAATGGGAAAATATCCTCAGGAGAGGATTGACAAGAGATAAATAAACAAATAAAACATGATGTTAAGTCTTCGCTTTTTAATTTATTAGTTTTAAATGTATTAATCTACTGTTAAATTTCTGGCTAGGGGCAAAATGAGGGGAGGAAAAACTGAAAAGTAAGGTGTATATTTAGTATCTATGCATGTTAGAAGTGTAAAACTTCTTCCACAAAGTCACTCTCAGTCGTATTTGGTAAGTGTTGCTGTTGTTGTAACCTACATGGAGCCCTAAGTCCTCAAAGATAATCCGAAGTTACCAAAATTATAAGAAGGACCCAGAGACTCCCTGGTGAACGTGGTCTGTGAGCCCGAGGTGTGACCCAGGTCCAGTCCGATGCTGCTGTGGTCCTGAGAGCACCCCAGGTGGGAAAGGTGTGTCCACAGGGAACTGCATTTAATTCTACGAGGCCAAGACAAAGCCCGGGGTTCCCATGCCTCCTTCAGAATAGTGGCACTGAGGCACGGCCACGTCAGACTCACCGCCGGAGCGTTAGACAATCTCGATGCCCAGGCTGCACCCACGCCAGCTGCGTGGGAGCCCAGGAGCAGGGCCGAGGCTGCCCAGTGATTCCAACACCCAGGCGAGGTGGAGAGTAACTGCTCAAAGGAAGGAAGTGCTACCTGGACCCTGGCTTCCCAGCTCTTCGTTCCACACAAGCAACGCAAAGGACACGCAGGGACGAAAAGAAAGTGGACCGAGCGGGTGGGAGGTGCTCCCTGAGTCTGCAGCGGAGGCTTGGCTCCCCGGCCCCCCCTGCTGGCCACACACACACACACACACACACACACACACACACTCCTGGGGTGGTGGTAGCTACCTTGGACTTTGTGGTCATGGTCATCCTGCAGGATCGCGATGGCCACCGTGTGGCTATTTTCCATGTCTAGGAGAGCAGCCTCATGGCTGGCGGTGATGTCTTCTACCTGTGGAGAGTCACAGTTGTGGTTACACGGGGCCGGGGTGGGTGGCAGCGACGTCCTCACTGCTTGGGGGACAGAGGTGGGATCCAATGAGTAGAAAGGGCAGTGGTCCAAACCGTCAAGGAAAAGTCACTCTACCGAGAGGGCAGCAGCCCTCGTCTTCGTGCTGGGGGCGTGGTGGCAGCCCCTGGAGCCAGGCTGTGGCAGGACGAGGGCAGCTCCCAGAGCATGGCTGCCTGAGCCCCTCTCCACCATCCGGGGCCTTGCCGGACCATCCACTTCCCACTCCCGTCCCTTCCCCTCACTCCAGTCCCTCTGTGGCTACCGGTGACTCAGGAAGAGGGGGGACCTCCCTTCTGGATGGTCGGTTCTGTTTCCCAGTGGCCGGTGGGACCACGGTGCACAAGGTAAACGTTGGGAACTAACATTTCCTAAGCTACCTGCTGTCAGCGACTACTTAACCCTCCCAGCAACATTATAAATATTTATGCTCATCTTACAGGAAGCTGAGGCTTACAGAGGTCTGAAACATTTTGCCTAAGGCCTAGGAAGGAGCAGAGGCACAGTCGCCCAGTCTCTCTGACTCCAAAGGTGAGCGAAGCCCCCGCAAGCACAGACCTGCTGCCTTTCGAACAAGACCAGGGACCTCAGGAGCGTCTCACCGAGGCCAGGTGGCCGGCGCCTGCTTCCCAGCCACGCTCGCAGCCTGGGCCTCTGTCCAGCTACGTGAGGCTGCTCCTGGAAGGGCTGCTGTTTGTCCAGCTCAGGTCACTTACAGGAGTTTAATTACCAGTAGCACACCTAGCCTGGCATGTTTTGTTTCCACTCTTCCTGACCCTTGCCCCCAACCCCCCACCATCACCAATTGTACCGTTTCTGTTATTTTTGTTGTTTTAACTTCAAATGTATGCCTTACAGAAGTAATTGCATCACACACTAGCAAACCAGAAGAGTGTTTTTCCAAATTCTTTGTCAGTGACAATCGCAAAAAAAACACTATGGTACATTGTAACACACGCACAAGCCAAAGTGTCACAGAACAACGCTTTCCCTCCTACTAGCAATGATCTGTTTTTAAAATTTTGATTCCATGTTACTTTGTTTATTTCAAAATGCTCGTAAACCTGCTGATGTGTCAAAGCCTGGCATTTGCAAAACACTGAAGCAAGAAATGTGTCCAGGTCCTAAAGCTCCTTGGTGCCCAGTTACACACGCTGCCTCTAGCCACCGCGCAAGGTCCTTCATTTCCCGGGAGATGATGCACAGGCCGACCTTCAAGGAGGAAGGGGTCCCCACAGGAAAGGAAGCTCATGTGTGGAGTAGACGCACAGGAGTATTTTTTTTAAAATGGGGTAGATTTTCATTCTGGATAGTATAATTTCATGGGAAAATTTGCCTGACTTTTCTCTCCTAAGGTAAATGAGAACTTCATCCATGAAAACAGAAATATCACTGGCAAAACCAATGAACCCCACAGTCTTAGGGAAGCTGCCTCGCAGTTTTCAAATGAACATGACCCGCAATGATTCACTTTTGTTCACTGGCCATTCTTTTTTTTTTTTTTTTTATCCTCACCCGAGGATATTTTTCCATTTTTTGTACAGATAGAGTGGGAGGGAGAGAGAGGAAGGGAGAGAGCGAGAGAAACATCGACGTGAAAGGGACACATCGAGTGGCTGCCACCCGCACGACCAACCAGGGCCGGGGACAAACTGCAACCGAAGTACGTGCCCTTAGCGGGAACCGAACCCGGGTTTCTCCGGACCGCAGGCTGATGCTCTAACCGCTGAGCCAAACCAGCCAGGGCTCACTGGCCATTCTTGATGGAACAAGGTTCCACTGAGGCTCAGAGCTAGGCCTCCATCCAGCAGAAAGTTCCAACTCCTGTTTACATGAGGTTTTTACAGAACCTTTGTTGGAAGCATTTTAGTCTCTTAAAACAATAAGTCACTGGTTTAAAATAAGGAAGTATATTTTTTCTGCTTCTTCATTACTGTGTTCCTTGAGCCGAGAGCACCCTGTCTCTAGACACAGGTACCCACATGCTATCTGAATGCTCGTTACCCAGTTCAGTCTAACGACACGTCTTTGATCATCCGGGAGTGATTCTGATTTATTGGACTCACACAGAATGCCACATTCCAGAAGCCTCGGGTGCCCCTGGTGGTGACGCCCCGGCAGCAGTGCTACATTGTGTCTGCAGCTGGATGCACACCCTTCTGGTTTGCCGGGAGGCAGGCCTTTGATGTAGTGGCGAGCCGCACCGGGCTTAGGGAGTGTGATGGAAGACCACCGTCTGCTTGCTTGGGCCTCAGAGGTGCTTGCATGACAAACACGGATCGCCTGACTCTGAAAGGCCGTTTACAGGAAGCGGAAACCAATGCCAGTGGATGAGCTGAGACTTGGGCACAGGAATCCTTACTCTTCAGTAATTAAAGTTTCTATACATCTTCATGGTTTTTAAAGACTGTTCCCTCCGTGGGGAAGGGGCCGTCCACGCTGGGCCATCCTCTCTCGTCGTGGTATTAACCCCGGACGGCTCCTCCCGGGCTCCCGGCTTCCTTCCAGAGCGCGGCCGCCACTGCAGCAGCCAGTGCGGACTCGGCCCAGGAGACCCAGACACCTGCCGCGGGCGCTTGAGGGGATCAGACAAGCAACACCAGAGCCTTTGATTCAGTCAGGCCAGGCAAACTTAGGTGGGTGAAGCTTCCTCCTCGTGGGCCCTTCCACCCCTGCAGGACCAGCCTCCTTCCTCCTGCAGGAAGAAGTTCTGGCTGCGCCACAGGGGGGGCTGTCACTGTGCGCATCCAGCAGTCCCTGTCGTGCGGAGAAGCAGCTGTTCCTGCAGCGGGCTCCCTTCCCCCAGGGGCTTGCGGTTCAGCTGGCTGAGCAACGGCAGCGCCTCTGGAAGTCTTTGATCACCTCTTGGCCAGTGAGACACAGCCGTGGCTTCCTTCCCTCAGCCATTGCAGAGTGTGCCCGCCTGAGGCCCGGGCAGTTCACGAGATGACTCTCAGAACGAAGATGCATGTGCTTTGCACCATCTCGGCTTCACTCACTCACCCCAACCCGGACTGAACTCCCACTCACCCCATCCCGACACACACTCCTATCTGGTGTACTCGCTCCGGGCTCTCGTACTGACGTCCCCTCCTTCCCTTCGGTGCCTGCTTACAGTGGCCTCGGCGTCTCTGTACTGAGAGCGGGCAGCCAGCCACCCCTTCGGCCCCTCTGCAGCCCACCCTGTGGGCAGGTGTTCACAGAGACCCGCCTTCCCACAAAGCCTCCTCCCAGGGTACGAGACTCCCGGCTGTGCCGGGTGGGGCTCTGGTGCTGGGACTGAGGGTCCCAGGGGGGGAGCGTGGTTCCCGCTGGTGGCAGGTCAGGTCGGAGGACTGCGGGTGCAACGCCTGGCGAACACACTGGCCCCGCGCACTCTCACCACGCTGGGATCCGGGCCTGCCAGTCGTCTGAAAGGCTGGGCTCCTTCCGCAGGGCAGGACGGAGGTCCCGAACGTGGGCAGAGAGAACGCGTGTCCAGGGAGCAGCAGCTCCCCCGGAGGGGAGGGCCCCTCTGCTCAGACATCATGGAGCAGAATCCACAGTGGCTTCAGGGCCAGGTCAGGGAGGAGGACAACAGGCCAGAGGGTCTCGGAGGAATGGGGTCAAAGGTCACAAGACTGATGACTGAGCCTCAGGCTCTGTGTCTGAGTATCTTTGGGAAACAGCCAGAGACAGCCAGAGAGGAGACCTGGAAGGCACTGTGTTTGGGCAAAAAAGGAAAAGCCCGCGTTTCCAGCGAAAGCCTGTCCCGCGTGCTTTGAGGCAGGGAGGCCCGGGCAGCTCGGCTCCTAGTAACGCAGAGCCAGTTTTGGTGGACACCTCACCGTCATACTCTCCAACTGAAAGGAGTCTGCAAAGGCGCTTAAGGAAGCCGGGAGGCCAGGCCACGCCCCCGCCCCAGAGGCCAGGCCACGCCCCCGCCCCAGAGGAAGGCCCTGGGAGCAGACCCGGCCTGGTGCCCGGCCCCACCAGCGATTCCGCCTCAGTTAGTGTGGGGCAAGGATGAGGAGGGGCCTGTCACAAGCTCCCCAGTGAGTCCCTGGGGGCACAGGGAGAAGTCTCTGCCCCTGCAGGTGAGCGGGGGGTGGCGGGGTAGGGGTGGAGGTGGCTGGAGTTGTCACAAGGGAGACCCTGCATCTCAGCCCCCGAGCTCCCCATTTGAGCAAAGTTGCAGAAGACCCTGCACACTGGTTAGGGTGAAAGGGTGAGGAGACTCCAGGTCAGTTAACTGGACTTTGAAGCTGGCAGAGCATAACTTCTGACAGAGAAGTCACTATCCATGGAGTCGGAGCTGCCAGGTGCCATTGTCCCCAGTACGGAAACCCGAGTGTGGAGAGTCCAGCCTGGGGAGCTGAAACCACAGACCACGCAACTCTCCATTGCAGCCACGCACCAACCACAGACCACGCAACTCTCCATTGCAGCCACACACCAACCACAGACCACGCAGCTCTCCATTGCAGCCACGCACCAACCACAGACCACGCAACTCTCCATTGCAGCCACGCACCAACCACAGACCACGCAGCTCTCCATTGCAGCCACGCACCAACCACAGACCACGCAGCTCTCCATTGCAGCCCTGCACCAACCACAGACCACGCAACTCTCCATTGCAGCCCTGCACCAACCACAGACCACACAACTCTCCATTGCAGCCACGCACCGAGTCTCCTCCTGCACAGAGCAAATGAGCGCTGGTTCCAGGGATGGAAACACAGTCGCTCCGCTTTCCTCCCTCACTGCCGCACGCGCCAGCCGGCCGGGGACTGCCGGTCAGACTATCAGCCAGCCTTCAGCAGCGGGGCCAGATCTGCGGCCTGAGTACTTCACGGATCTCAGTCATCCACCCGCCACCAGGGGTGTCCACAAGCAGGGTTTGCTCAGACCCACTCAGATGTTATTCTGCCACGAAGTGTTCCCTATCCCCACAGCTAGAACACACTCTCAAGTGCTAAACACATCAGCTGTGCTCCTCACCCAGTATGGGTTTCTGGGCACTTCCTCAGACCCCCCTGGTTATCCATCACCTGAAGCATGGGCCAAGCAGGCCCACCGTGTATAAATCTTGTATCCCAGGCAGGACGCTGACACGGCGCCTCGTGTACCGCAAGCACTCCCCAAATGTTCTTGGCAGAGGTGAATGCATACAGAGATGAATCGCTTTGGCTGTCATAAAGGACCACAAAGAACAGAACTCAGAGCCCTCATAAAACACAGCCCTTTTCAAATATTCATAGGCAGCTTCTGTAACTCATTCTCAGCATCAGGGCCTTCTTTCCTTCAGTGCCGCCCAGCATGAAATCTCTGCTGTGTCCCAGCTTAAAGGTGAGGTGAGCGCTCACCTCCCAGCGCCTGCACGCGGGACGCCCAGGGAGGCCTTCTGCCTGGCCGTGCCCCTGGCTGACCGCTCTGCCCAGCAGTGGCCCCAGCTCCCTGGTTTCCGTACATGGCACCCGAATGGGAGCCTTTGTTCAGAGGCTCCCTCAAAGCACACTGTCCTGCCTGGCAGCCCCCGCCAACCTCTTCCCAGCTTCTCTACCAACTCAGAGCTTCGGACCAGACGTCTTTTAGTGAATAAAGGTACAAACACATTCTCTGTGTAAAACTGGAGTGAATGGCCCAGGGGTATGGAGGCACAGGGCAGGCTGTTTGCATCAGGTCTGGGCACCAAGGGAGAGGCCCATGATCCCAGTGAACATCTGTCCTATGTGCAATCCGGCTCCGCGATGCAGCGCCAGCTACTGCATGAGCACTGGTTTTCATCCGACACCTTGTAGTCTTACTTTTGAAATGAAATTCAGACCCTACCTTTTTTTTCCTTTTTCTTTTAAATTTATTTTTTATTGTTGATATTATTACAGATGTCCCCTATTTCCCCCCACATCTCCCCTCCACGCAGTCCCTGGGCCCACCCCAGGCCTTCCCCCCACTATCGTCTGTGTCCCTGGGCTCCCATATACGCGTATGAGTTGTTTGCTTCCTCTCTTCCGGCCCCACCCCCTTCCCTCTGAGATTGGTCAGTCTGTTCCGTGACTCCAGGTCCTGGGCCTATTCTGTGGATCAGTTTATTTATAAAGGCACTAAAGGGAGCTAGGAGGCCAGGCTATACCCCCTGAATGCCCCAGGGACCATGCTAGCACTGCGGACAGCCACAGGGACAAGTGTCTGCTTACAGAAGTTATGCTCCCTGAGTTTAGGAGGCAAGACGCCGGTTCTAATATTAGCACCAGCTGTAACTTTAGCTGCAGCCTATTGTGTTTCCTGGTCTCTGTGTCTAAACAGCCTCAAGCAGGCAGGTGTGTCTGGTTTCCACCCGAAAAGGAGATGCCGAACAGAATAAAATGCGTCAAACAGGAGATTTTTAATTACAACCACAGTACTTATTATCACACTGAACCCCCTTGTGCGCCCTGGGATTCACAAGCCTCTGGGGGCCGTCCCCATCCAGGGTGCCTCTTGGGAAGCTGTCAGAGGAGGGCAGCCCAAATGTTCCTGATCCGAAAGGGCCACCCAGCACCAGCAGGAGATCTGAAGCGCTCTTTGCAAATGCCACGTTCCCTGAGGACTACCGTAAGCAGACCATGAGTAACAATCCACGCTCAGAGGCAGGCTGAGGGAGCAGAGCCGGGGGTTTAGGAAGGAGAGGGAAGATAGGAGCAGAGCTGGTTCTCGGGGAAGCAATGTCCTGACACTGCCCACAGCAGGGATGGGCGGGCGGCTCTGGCTCCTACCTCTGTCGCCTGACAGGCTCCCTGGGAACTTTCCTCTGCGTCCCAGATGAACCCCCCTCTCTGTAAGACTCGGCCGCTGGCGGCGCCCATGCTGTCACTCGGCAAGTTCAAAGTGGCAGCCTGCTCGGGCAGGCACAGTCAGGCCCCGTGTTCCGGAAGAGAGCCTGGCACACAACTCTAATCCGTGCATCAGCACGTGGCCTCCGCAGCCAGGCCGCGCCTGCCCTGGCCTTCCCGCCACCAGCTCTGAGAGTCCTGGCCCGCTGTTCACCCTCCGGGCTCGGCGGTGTCACCTGTAAGTCGGGGACAATGATGACACAGAGCTGCAGGGTGACTGTGAGCACTGAATGGGCTGGTACGTGTGAGGGTGAGGAGCAGTGCCTGGCACACGCGGCCTGTTCACCGCGGCCCTCGCGGAATACACAGGTGATAAACAGCACACAAAGATAACATTTGTGGCCTCATGGCTGGTACTGAGGAAAAACTGCAGCAGGACGGGGCCAGGACGAGTGTGTACGTGTAGGGAGGAGTTGGCATTCGAGAGGAGGAAAAGCCTCCCTGGGAAAGTGACTTTGGAGAAAAGTCTGGAAGGCAGGGAGAGAGGGAGCCACGGAGTGTCTAGGGGAGCTTTCCGGGCGGGAGGGGAGCCTGCCTACGAGGAGCGGGAGGCCCTGGGGCTGGAGGGGAGGAAAGGAGGCCACAGAAGACAGAAGTGAGGTCGGAGAGGGAACCTCGCGAGTAGCTCACCCACCGACAGGACCTCTGGCTCACGGAGTGCTGCTCCCCCCCCTCCACCTGCGGCCCAGGCGCAGCGCACTGACCTGCTCGCGGTGCTGACACCGGATCCGCAGCAGCTGGGCGCCATGCTCCTCCTGCAGCCGCGTCGCCTCCGCCTGGAACTGCAGCTGCAGGCGCCCCTGCAGGTCCTGGAGCTCCGCCCGCTGCTGCCAGCCCAGCTTCCTCACCTCGTCCTCAAACCGCCTCTCCAGCTCTTCCTTCTCCTTCTGCAGCCTCTCACACTTGGCTGTGTTGAAGGCTGGGGACAGAATAGCATCCTTGTAAAAGCTGGGGAGGAGGCCCCGAAAGGCTTCAGCGCCCACGGGTAGGGCATCAAGGTTAACGTCATAACCGGGACAAGACCTTCCTGCTTTGGGAGAGCCTTGCAGAGGGCTTTCCCTTCGACTGCACTGACCCTGCGGGGAAGCCCAAGGTCGCCTGGTGTGTAGAGAAGGAGCTGCAAAGGCAAAGTTGAGCTTTCTGACCACCCGCCCCGCGGTCCTGCTGCTGGAGCAGGGTCCTCCGAGGGCCCACGGACCATGGGCATGAGCAGGCACTCTCCCAGGCACACCTGGGTGGGTCAGAGCCTTTGGGGCAGCAGCCCAGGAGGTAAACGTTTCACAAGGTCCTCAGTGACTCCTCTGCCTGGCTGACCTGTGCACTTCTGGGAGCTGAGACAGGACAGAAGAGGCACCAGGCTAAAGGCTGTTCTGTCCGGGTTGAAATGCCAAACTGGACAATCACAGAGAAAGTGTGGGTTTCCTTTCGGGGGCCCGAAAGTAACTGTGCAGTGCCCCCTTGCACTGGCATGCCACCCTGTCCCGGTCCGGGTGTGCTTCCCAGGCCCCAGCAGGGGATGAGCCAATGACAGCAGCCCGCTGACCCTCCTTCATATCCGTGCCTCCCTTGGGCCTCCAGCGGGGGGCTGCTTCTGCTTGCAAGGTCTCTTTCTTCACTGCAAACTGCTTCCACGAAGGAGAAAAGCCTCTCGACAACCTACTATGTTCAGGTCAAGTGATACTGATTATGCGCACGCATGGCACAGACGTCCAGGTGCAGGAGTGCATCGGTTACGGTCTGCAGGGGGCGCTGCCATGGGCTCCGTCCTGTGCTCACGCTGGGGAGCTGTCATCACCTAATTTTTTAAATTTTAATTTTTAAATATGTTTTTATTGAGTGTTTCAAGAAAGGGGAAGGGAGAGAGCGATTAAAACATTGATATAAGAACAAAACATCCACCGGCTGCCTTCTGCATGCCCCCTACTGGAGATTGAGCCCACAACCCGGGCATGTGCCCTGACTGGGAATCGAACCGGGACCTCTCAGTCCAAGAGTCCAAGGGACCACGCTCAGTCCCCTGAGCCACACTGGCCGGGTTCATTGCTTACTTTAATATTGAGTGAGCAGGTATACGGGCTGGTCCATGATAATCTACACCGGCTTGGTTATGATTAGAAATATACGTCCAAGGTCCAAGGTAGTTAGCCTTTGAAACACCCTGAAGTCCCGCCCTAACGGAAGCTAATTCAAGGGCTTCCTTGTCACATTTAGTTCTAGAAGAGTTTGTTCATTAGCACAGGGATGTTTCAAAGTACGTTTCCCCTGACGAGCAGAGGTGTGGGTTGGAGGGACGGGCACCTTGCCCTGTGTGGACAGTGCAGCAGCCCAACACTGCCCCCGGTGGCCTTTCTGGTGAATTGTCCCAGTGGGGACTCGGATGCAGTCTGGTGAAGTTGTGAGCAGGCTCGGCCACTGTGATCCGGGCGCCCAGGGGCGGGCTGTGATGAGCTGCCCCCAGGGTAGGCAACAAGAGGAGGCACTGTGCCGAGAATTTCACAGCCGTTCACACCGACTTGAAAAGCCCTCTGCTCTTCATCGGCACCTTGTGCCGGCAATTCTAAAGAATGCTGGTGAAAAAAACTCCTCAAAACAGTCGTGTGTTGGTCTAAGTTCGAAACAATTGCTACAGAGGACTGTTGAGTTTTTTCACAATAATTTTTGTATTTAGAAAATCGCAGAGAAAAGTTGGAAGTATGGTACCAGGTCATTATTGTACAAATGACTTTTTCCCCCTGAACCATTTGAGAATGAGATGCTGACCCACTGTCCCATCAGCCCCAAATTCCTTAGTGTCTATTCCCTACCAACAAGGACCTCTTAATCTTACTTCAGTCATCCAAGCCAGGACGTCAACATTGACCCAACAGCGCCATCTGATGCTCAGACCCCTTTCAGCCTCACCAGTTGTCCCAATAATGTCCCTTTGAGTAAAGAGACCCAAGTCTGAATCATGAGTGGTCTCCTTACTCTCCTTGTATCTAGGACAGTCCTCAGCCCTTCCTTAACTTTCAGGTCGCAGACACTTTTAAAGATGAAAGGCCAGCTGTTTTACAGAAAGTTTCTCATTCGGTGTGTTTGATATTCTCTTCGTATTAGATCCAGGTCCTGCACATTTGACAGAAATGTCACAGAAGTGATGCTGTTTGTACTCTTCTCATTTGAATGTTAATAAGTTTGAATAATCTTTAAAATGGAAATTACTTCTTTTTTTCTTTAAATCCTCACCCAATGATATTTTTTTCCCATTCAGATAAAGTATGAGGGAGGAAGGAAGAGAGAGAGAGAGAGAGAGAGAGAGAGAGAGAGAGGAGAGAGAGAGAGAGACAGAGAGAGGAGAGAGAGAGAGAGAGAGAGAGAGAGAGAGAGATTGACATTGACGTGAAAGGGACACATCGACTGGCTGTCTCCAGTACAACCCTGACCAGGGCTGGGGAATGAACCATAACTGAAGTATGTGCCCTTGACCTGAATTGAACCTGCGACTCTTCGGTCCATGGACTAATGCTCTAACTGTTGAGCCAAACTGGCTAGGGCAGAAATTCCTCCTTTTTAATGGCTTATGTAGTGAGTGAGGAAAATCATGCTTTGTGTAATCATTATGATTGCAAGACTCTACTGGAAATTATTTGGTGGTATGGAGAGAGGGGTGTTACAAATGGTCCGGCAAACATCAAATATGTTAGGTGTTCCCCTGAATGCAGACATTATGGTCACATCTCTTAGGTGAGGGACAGATCGCTGGGCAAGCCCTAGGCTGCCCACCACAGGTAGTATAACAGCATTTTGCTGGCTTCCTAATAAAGATGAACGTGACTAGCAGAAGCTTTCTGACACCTGGTCATGAGGTCCTGGTGAGGGAGGTCAGCATCCTCTTCTACCTCTGACACTGAAGGCTACATTCCTACAAAAAGAACCCACAGTAACAAATGGCCAAAGTGGCTCAGGCCTGGTGGCAGGGGTGTAAAATGCCTGTTCCCAGGAGTTCTGACCCCCAGGCTTTTAGCAGTTCCAGCTTTCCCCAAAGATCAGCCGCCAGGGAACGTGGCAGGGATTTCACCAGGGGCTGTAGCTAGAGAAAATACTACCTACTGCCATAGACTAGTTAGGAGGCGCGCGCGCGCACACACACACACACACACACACACACACACACTTATCTTATCCTGGGATGACTGGATTTTAATAGAACAAAGACCATAAACTGTCCATTTTAAAACAGTGATTGATGGACAAAGTCAAATTGAGGCAAATAGAGAAGTAATGATTTCACCAGTGGGGGGAGACAGAGAGTCATCCTATAGACAACACAGACCTGGGGACACCAGGGATGACCAAGGAGCCCTAGGGAAGGAGCCCAGGGTGGGTTTCTGGATGTACGGGGCCTCTTCGGACGGCACTTTTGTTTTTGTAATTGGGATTCACTAACTGCATAGTGATCTTCACCCTGTGTGTCATGCACTGGCCAATGGCATCAAAATAAAGCAATGATGACATGTCCCCTTGTATTTAGAGCGGGTCCACCATGCGGTGCCCAGGGAGGGGACGCCCATGGCCAGGATGCATGGGAACAGATGGTCAGCACCGTTCATGATCAAATACATGCAAATTAACCAAGACACTTTTTTTTTTTTTTTAATCTAAAAGACTGATAAAAACGAAACATTCTGATAACACCAGAAGGGTACGAGGAAGCTGACATTTAATGGACTATTGGTGGGAACACAGCTGCTGAGCTGCTTCAAGGGCCTGATACCTTTAAACTTTAAAGGACAGGACTGGTAGCATTAGGGGGTGACAGCTAAGCAGTACAGGGTTTCTGTTGGGGTGGCAAAAATGTTCTCGAATAGATTGTACAACAGTTGCCACAACTCTGCAGATGCACGAAGAACCATTGAGTTGTACAGTTTAAATGGGTAAATTGTATATAGTACATGAATTATATCTTACAGTGTTGTTTTTTTTATCCTTATCTGAGGGCATTTTTGCATTTATCTTCAGGTAGAGCAGGAGGGAGAGAGGGAGGAAGAGAGAGAGAAATATCAGTGTGAGAGAGACACATCGATTGGCTGCCACCCACATTACCCCAACTGGGGCTGGGGACAAACTGCAACCGAGGTGCGTGCCCTTAGTGGGAACCGAACCCAGGTCTCTCTGGACCGCAGGCCCACGCTCTAACTGCTGAGCCAAACCAGCCAGGGCTATATCTTACAGTTTTTACAAAAAAGAAAGGAAAATTTAAAAACATAACATGATAAGAAAAATGCCTTAGAGGATAAATTTAGATGTTTCTATAGAAGGAAAGTGCCTATTAATGATTTAAAACTCTACATAACAATGGTGAAAATATGATAGCAAAATAAAACAAAAATAAAAACCCTACACTATGCAGTTTCTCTCTCTCTCTCACTCTCAGATATAGGTGGAATCTAATGGAACCTAAGATACAATAAACAGACAACAAAGGTTAAAAAAATGAATAAAACAAATCAGTTACATTGGAGAAAAAAAATAAATGACACACAGGTTTTAACCCAATAATTTCACAAGTGCACACACACAAAAATTGGTCAAGGATTATTACATTCTGATTTGCCTTAGGGAAATACTGGGGAGCTACATAAATAAATGATAATAAATTCAATATACAGGGGTGGGCAGAAGTAGGTTTATTTTTGTAATACAAATAAATAAAAATACAGGAATACACTCTGTGTTTCACATACCCACAACTATATCCTGCTTTTGCCCACCCCGTACATATAGGATAAATCCTATATACAATGGGCTATAGGCAACCAGTAACAAAAATAAGCTAAATCTTTTTGTGATGTCATGGAATACTATCTGTAATACATTGCTAACAAAAGGCAAGGTGCAGAAATAGCGAGCGTACATAGTCCTATTTGTAATGGAAATGTC